TCAAAATAAATGATTTTGTGACATAAATTGTCGTAAACATTTATTTCGATTAATTTTCAATCGACTTCAAAAAGAATGAGGTTCTCAATTCGATTGTATTATTTCTGTTTTTTTTTGACCTCGTAACTCTGTCAGTTCTAAACCGATTTAATTTTTTTTAGTACTTACAAATTGGTCCCATTGAAATTTTGTCATAATTTAATTTAATTTTTAGCCTAAAATAACTGGTTTTGTTATAGTTGAAATACTTTTTTTTTTGTGTGACTCAATCATTAATTATTTGTCATTGATACAGTTTCCTTTGTTTTTTAATTTGTCACGATAAGTAATACTGTTTTCTTCGTACCTAGTAGAATCTAATTACCAATAGATAACTCGCCTCTAGCCTTGTTACTATCTCTCGTGTTACCTATTTCTGCTGTGCGGCAGAAATGCGATCTTGCTTCGGTTTAAATGGTAAAATAGTTAATGTAATCAAAGAGTATGGCACAGGCATAACATCTAGGTTCTCAGGAGTGTTATTTCCGGAACTGTAACATCAGCATATTTTTATAGTTTTTTTTTTTTTATACTACTTAGAATGGCAAACAAGCTGACAGCCCACCTGATGGAAAGTGGTAACCGTCGCCTATAGACATGAGCAGTACCATGGACATAACAGAGTATACTGTTTCACCCATGATACCCTCCATGCGTTTCACAAACAGTATAGCATAGTGAGAATTTATAATATTTTACGTGCATTTTAATATAGCAACGGAATATCGGGGTTATTTTTTCTTTTTACAAATTATGTTTGTCATAATAATAATAAACAAATGAAAGGTTAACTAAGTTTTTTTGAAATTATCGTACTAACATATTATATATGTATTTTTTTAACGTGTGACTATACAGTTATAATTATTGATAATGATGATGATAAATAGGTGAGAATGATGTTAGATCAGTTACCCTGTCGTAGTGAATTAATTCGATATTATCCACGACGTTTTCCAGAAGGAATCGCATAGAGGTTGACCTATATGTGACAGAGTGTATATATATATTTATTATATATATATATATATATATATATATATATATATATATATATATATATATATATATATATATATATATATATATATATATATATATATAATTGTTAATCTGATGGGGTAGAGTAAGTGCCACAATGTGTTAGCCACACACGACGGTTACCACTTTCCACCAGGGGGCCCGTCAGCTTGCTTAGCACGCTGAGAGCAATATACATGTCGATTAATTAAGTTTTAAAAGTAACTCTTTCTGGTACTATAATCTATAATGATTTTAACAAAAATAATCAAGAAGAAAATGTGATGATGCGCATATAATTATTCTATTATATAAAAAAGTGTATGCTTAAGCGAACGTGTTGTTCTGTGTGCTTGTCAGCGAATTTTTTTTTTATTTGACTTTTTTATTTATTAATGTTATGGCTCATTGATTTGACTATATTCTTTTAATATTTATGTTCATGTAAAAACAAATATTATGTGTCACTAGGTATGTATGTAGCATTTTAATTTATATCAATTAATTATAACATATAATAAAATCGTAACTGATCTCTGTCTGTACATGGAAGATGTATAAGAAAAACTATTATAGAGGGGGGGGGGGGGCTTTATGAATGCAATAGAACGCAAAACAATGATTTTTACAATTTTTGTCTGTTTGTCTGTGCGTTTGTGCACGTTAATCTCAAAAATTATTTTATTTTACTAATGCGTTGCGGTTTGAAAAGTCGATTTCTTGGGCACCTCTGTCCCATTCGTGTTTCTACCGTGAAGCAGTTGTGTTTGCATGGCTGTGTTTCGGTTTGAAGGGTCGGATAAGGCATGAATTTACAAGGTACAGAAGAATAACACCTGAGTCCTCAGGAATGGCAACGCATGGAGGGTATCATGGGCGAAACAGTATGTGTGTGTACTGTTATATCCATGGTACTGCTCATGTCTATAGGCGACGGTTACCACTTTCCATCAGGTGGGCCGTCAGCTAGTTTGCCATTCTAAGTCGTATAAGAAAAAAAGATCGTCTGTCAGTCTGTGTCTGTTTATATCGGCATCACGCCTTTACTTCCGAAATTAACGTGTACGAAGTTACGGGGAAAAGCAGCAAAAAAAAAACTTGACTGAAACAATGAATGGATACCTTTACCGTAGCTTCATTCTGTCTACTTCATAAAAAAAAAAAAAACCTGATCGTGAAGATAACACGAGATGCATTCATAAATATTCTTGCAGTATCTCTTAATGAATGCTTAGGTTACAAAAGACATTGTGTACCAAATTTTCGAGTTCTTAGAACGGAATTGTTTTTTTTTTATTGCGAGCTGTGTATGCAACTTCTTTAGTCTCGGTGGGTTCGAATGAGCTCAGAGAAATGTCGGTCAGGCTTATGCTAAGTTTATCACAATGCTAACAGGTGACTAATACTTCCGATTATTCCATCTGTTATTATTGCTAGTATTGTTTCTAGAAAATGGTCGAATGTAAAAACAAAATTTTATACGCTATACCTACTTGCCTATTAAGAATTGCTAACATTTGAAAAAGCAAATGTTGCGTTAGCTAAGCGAGACATTTTCAAAGCGAATGTAGTTAAATACAATGAAAATTAATCCTTGTAAATTAATGTAATAAATGTAATTAATGGAATGGATAAGGATATAGGCTACCAGAGGGAGATTTTGTACAAAAGTCGATTGCTTCGGTACCTCTGTCCCATTCGTGTTTCCACCGTGAAGCAGTCGTGTTTGCATAGCTGTGTTTCGGTTTGAAGGGTGGAATATGGCGTGAATTTACAGGGTACAGAGGAATAACATCTGAGTCCTCAGGAATGGCAACGTATGGGGGGTATCATGGGCGAAATAGTATACTCTGTTATGTCCATGGTACTGTTCATGTCTATAGGTGACGGTTACCACTTTCCATAAGCTTGTTTGCCATTCTAAGTTGTATAATATATATATATATATATATATATATATATATATATATATATATATATATATATATATATATATATATATATATATATATATATATATATATATATATATATATATATAGGCTACTCTTAATTCCGACGACGCGAAAAAAATAAGTTAGTAAAAAAAATAAACTCATTGGTATTGCTGCATTCGATTACATATGCAATTATTTAGTAGCATCAAGGTTATTATTGATTGGAAATCAACATAATAATATAATACTGGTAGTTTGTTCTCGTCGTGTTGCATAAAAAACATACTCATAACTATTATTTCAATAGTCGAAGACACATGTCGACTGCTTTTTTTTTAAATAGGTAAATGGTGACCTCGCCTGCGCTATCGGTATACGCTGGCGGGGCACCAGTGAGGGATGGTAGGTAGGTGAGAATGAAAGTAGGTCAGTTAGCCATCCATCCATGATGGTTTCCAGGGGGAACTGCGTGGAGGTCGAACTACTACGGATATACCCTATATCACTAGCAATGGAGCTGTTAGATGTCCGTTACTAACAATCCCTTCCCCCATCTGTCGATTGTTGCCGTTGTGGTGAAAGTAACACTATAGGACCCTCGAAATACTCGAGGTATGTAAAGTTTACAAAAAAGTTTTCAGTTCTTGTGATTTTTTTGCAGAATACCTACGCGATTACTTTACAATTTTAAAACAATCTTTCAATCAATGTGGTATATAATCCACGGGAATATTCCCGTATTGGTTTCATATTGATTTTGTAACTATGAACGCTACCGTTTTTCTTTGCAAAGCAAATCAGTTGCCGAGCGAAATATACATGTAATATATGCGAATAGAGCGAAATATATGCGATTTCGCGTTCGAATTTAGAATATTTACTAAGTTATCTTCCATTACTCCATTAGCCATGTGGTCCCGGCATAGAATTGGCCGCCCCTGCCTTTTCCATGAGTATCTTTTTTTTTAAAGTGTGAGAAATATTAGACCTCAGCTTAGCTGTTGGTATACACTGGCTGGGCACCAGTAAGGGATAATAGATAGATAGGTATGAAGCAGGTCAGTTGGTCCAGTGAGACGAATTTAATACTAATTCACCATGATGGTTCTCATAGGGAACTGCGTGGAGGTCGACCTGATAGGGTATATTACTAGCAATGAGATAGTTATACCCTATTGCTAACAATTTCTCTGTGGGTGTTGCAAGAGGCGACTAAGGGAACTTAATTGTTCAGCAATGGACAGCAGTGTCTCTCTTAAAACATCAAAGTCTAACTGCGGTTGCCTATACGCCTGTCAATTGCCCATGTTCAGCGGTGATGAGTCAACAGCTGGTATGATGATGTGGTTATTTACGAAGAATGCCATTATTTTTCGTTGTATGTGTTCAATCTGAAATAGCTTCTTTTTCGGAGAAAAAATTACTACATAGTTGTGTCTCGTGATATGCGTAATGAAGTTTCGGGTTCGATTCTCGGTCAGATCAATTTTGGAAACGATCTTCTCTATAAAGGTTCGGGTCTAAGTTGTTTAGGTTGTGCCGCTGATGATTATTGCCCTTTTCTTATTTACTTATTATTATTACATGATTTCTATCCAATAACATTATTGGGTAAAAATGATTAGAAACTGTTCATGAATCATGAACTACACAACAAATATTTACACGTTTATTAATTCTTTACGTATTGTTATTGCTTTCACACACACACACACACCCACTCTAACTCATCTAATGTGTTTTACATTGACCTTATTGGATTTTGTCACTTTCTTTCAAATTGGGAATTCCTTGGAAAAGAAAAGGACAAAACATTTCAATAGCTAATATAAGTTTATGAGACGTTTCATGTGTTTATGAATAAGGTGGTTATAATGTTATTTTTTAAATTAAAAATCCGTTATTACCTGTATTTATAAAGATACTATATTAAGATAAGTAAATAATTTTGTAAGGAAGCAGTTAGATTTTTGTATTAATATAAATAAATAATTTCCCGATTAGATGGAGAAGGCCAACCGTAAGTACATACTTACGCAAGGGCCTTTGGCATTCACCGTGAGCCACTTTTGGTTAATGGTATGGGAGCAGAACAGCCGAGCGATACTTATGCTGAACAAGATAATTGAGAAGAACGAGATCAAGTGTCACTGGTACTGGCCCCACGGCGTCGGGGAGAAGCACAAGATGGTGTTGAACGACGTTAAATTGACCGTGGTACAGATAAGCGAAGAGGATTGTAGTTACTATTCCACGAGGGTGTTCAAGTGAGTTTCTGAATTACTTTGTGTTTTTCGTACTATCTCTTGATTGCTTGGTGGTGTTGCGGTTTTATACACTGCCTGAAATTCCGATGGTCGCGGGTTCGATCCTCACACAATATATACGTTTATTTCTAATATTATATATTTTTGGTAAATATTTCTGTTTATTTAAAGTTCTTTATTCAACGTAAAACAAAAAAACTTAACATGGTTTGTAATGTTTGTTAAATGCATTTTTTTATATGTAATTAATATGTATTCACAAAGCAATTAAAAATCGATCAGTTTTTCAATAATTAATAATCACTCAAAACAAATTGTACCTAATTTGAACGTGCGTAGTATAGATAACACTAATGGGTTTTTTAATTATTCAATGAGGCTAGTGTTCAAATGTATTATAGTGTTATACCACCTCATTAATGTGCACACAATACCTGACTTTATTTATTATTAGTGTTTTACCAAACTATCGGCTAGAGCATTGTTTCTCAACCATTTTTATGATGCGACCCACGAAAAAGCCAAAAAGTTAAGTAAAAAGTCTTGCGGCCCCATCACTAATAAAATTAACTTATAAACAATGCCAAACATCGCATTAATTAATTATGTTCATGATTAATTATTTTAATGAAATAAATTATGCTATATGTTTATTTTATAATGTTGTTATTATATTATAATAATAACATAAAAAATTAATTTTGAGTCTTTCGAGGGCTTATTATTTTTTTACAGCCTTTAACACGCGAACCTTCCCCTCCCCCCCCCCAACCCCCAGTTGAGAAACGATGGTCTAAGGTATCCAGTAGTTTCACTGTCATGTACCATTCCTCAAATCGGAACAATGCATACAAACAAGATGAAGAAATAGTTGACGTAGAAAGATAACCATACAAATAACTTTCTACAGTCAGTTTGGTATTTTTTTTTATTGACCAGTAAGAAACTGGAAGTCGTCTGCATTGGGCACTTCTGTCCCACTCGTGTATCTGCAGTGAAGCAGCTGTTCTTACATGTCTGTTTTAGTTGAAATAACAGGCTACGCAGTAATGACGTACTCTGTGATGAAGGTTACCGCTTTCAATCACGTGGACCGTCAGATTGTTTGCCAATATTATTATAAAAAAAAGTTTGGTTTTGAAATAATTTGAATGTGTACATTCCATCTAGAATCTATGACCTGGAGAGCTCAGAGAGCAGGGAGGTGGTCCAGTTCCACTACACCACGTGGCCTGATTTCGGGGTGCCCACGTCCCCGCTGGCGTTCTTGGAATTTCTGAACAAGGTGCGCTCGTCAGGAGCCCTGGGCCCAGACGTGGGGCCCGCCATAGTCCACTGCAGCGCCGGCATCGGCCGTTCTGGGACTTTCTGTTTGGTGGACTCTTGCCTAGTAATTGTAAGTATTTTTTTTTCTATACATGTATTATATACTTTATTAACCGACTTCAAAAAGAAGGAGATTCTTAATTCGGTTGTATTTTTTATGTTTATTATCTCAAAAGTCCATTAGTTCTAAACCGATTTTGATTTTTTTTTTATCTGAAACGATATACTTACAGCCTGGTCCCATAGAGATTTAATCAAAATAGGTACAGAAGTTTAATTTTTAAATTAACTGGTTTTGTTCAAAATTGAAGTCGGGTTTTTTGGTAGGACACAATTTTTAAGTATTTTATTATATCAAAAGTAGACAAGCATACAGGTCATCTGATGGTAAACGGATACCGTAGCATGTGGACGCTTGCAACACCAGGGGTCTCATGTCCACAGTGCTGATCATATAGAAACCCTTAACAGTCCCTTTTTGAAGAGCATCTTGTGAGTGAATCATTCTCTTTTCGATTGATCGCATTCATAGACCATACTTCTTCTGTGTTCGCTAAGAATGCTGTGGTCACATCTCCTACTGTAATAATAATAAAAAAAACTATAGTCTCTTGAAAACCTAGATAGGATTCTATAATAGCTCCCCTGTACAAAGGAGTAACTAAGTAATTACATCTCCCTTGTAGGCCAGGCAGAGAGAACTGAGTGCCAAGCGCATCTATCCTCACATTTCTTGCTTTATCCACATTCATAACTCATAATACATCCGTTTTGATTATTCTTGGATTATCCATCAGATAGCTATCTTTAACTATATTTATTTTTTTTAATGGGTGAAAATAGAATGGTAACTCTGCCTGCGCTAACGGTATACGGTGGCGGGGCACCAGTGAGGGATGATAGGTAAGGATGAAAAGACAGGTCAGTTAGCCCATCGTGATGAATACACCTGGAATTTAACACGATGGTTTTCAGGGAGACCACGTGGAGGTTGACTTGGTTGGGTATATTGCTAGCAATGGGGCCCTTAGTCTCCACTATTGACATCCCCTCCCCCCATTCCCCAATGAAAGCAGGATAATTAGCCCATGGTAGCTAGTTCCACAAGAATTAACTGCTATGGTATCCAGGGGGAACCGCGTGGAGATTCACCTGTATATTGCTAGCACTGGGACTATAAGACCCTATTACTAATAATTCATTTCCCTTTTATATTTCAAATGTAATTCTACAATTATTTAAGATCTAGCTTTTACGCGCGACTGTGCACACGTGACTGGAATTTGTTTATTGACCGGGATGTATGTAGTCTATGTACTCCATCCCATATAGTATCTGTGTACCAAATTTCATGGGGATCGGTTAAGCCGTTAAGACGTTATTAGGTAACAAACACACTTTTACATTTATAATATTAGTAGGCATGTATAGCAATTAATTACTATAAATGGTTCTATGTGGTATAGAGCTGTTATTGTGTTACAGGGAAATTTATAAAAATACATACAAATGGAAGTATAAATATAATTATCTAAATATATAAGGTATATAACAATATGCTAGTTTATAGAGAATAATAAAGTAGGTTTGTAATAAAATTGAGGATAATATAAATGATACAAATGCATGCAAAGTAAACCACAGCATTTCATGATTATATATCTAATATGGTAAAATTCTTTATTTTATTTATTTATTTCTTATTGCATTCCATAATATAGTTAGTACATACCATTTCAATTATGGACCCTGTTGGGCACAGCAAGTAGGAGAGAGGAGGACAACACTTTTTTCACTTTCGAAATAGTTTAAGGATCTGTTACAATATTAGACATGAGCAGTACCACGAACATAGCAGAATACACTGTTTCGCCCATGATACCCCCCATGCGTTGCATATTAGCAACCCCTTTCCCCCTCGTGGTATAGTTTCATGTAAATTGCTTCAAGTGGGGTCCCGTGTTCGACTCTTGTTGTGGCCAATTTAGAAAACAACTTTTTCAGTTTTAACGAATTAGGATGTTATGGTTACTGTGGCATAATCGCCGTGGAATGGGTAGCAGCGTCCCTTTTAAAACATCACCAAAGCTTAACTGCAGTTGCCGGTCCACCTGCCAAGAGTGGCAACTACTGGTAAAACTCCCCTTATGGTGGAGGCCTATATTCAGCAGTGGATTCTTAACGGTTGCTGGGATTGGGGATATGTATAATATGTATTTATGAAAAAAGTTTTTAAGTACATCTGTTAGTTGTCTAATACCAATTGTACAACAAGCATGTTGTATGCATGCAACGAGATATGAAAGTGCATGTAACAGGAGATGATATCTCTATAGAAATATCGCCGTGAAGATAGATAAGGACAGTAACTTTTTAAATTGTTTTACACTATGATTGTTTTATGCCTGTTCAGATTGAAAAGGAGGGCCGCGACAGCGTAAATATACAGCAGATACTGTTGGAGATGCGCAAAGACCGAATGGGCCTGATACAGACGCCTGATCAGCTCCGGTTCTCGTACCAGGCCATCATAGAGGGCGCTAAGAGGCTCGATCCTGGCTGGGTACGTATTACAGTCGAGTTCTTTGCTCCATTTCTGTTTAAGAGGGTTATTGAACAGGATGGTTGGTTTAAAAAAATATTGACGTGCATGAGTGTCCAAAAATATCCTGTATGAACAAAACATAAAAACCGTTTGCGCTATTTGTCAACAATTTTTTAATCAATTTTTTTAATACATCAAAACAACTGTTTAGAAATAATAATTGAACAAATTATATATAAACTAACACTAAAAAAAAAATAGTGACTATAAATTCTTGTCTTTTTTATAAAGTGTCCAAATATTTTATTGCAATTAAAATTTTTTATGTTACTCATAGTTCAATAAGAATATTGTTAATGTTTTATTTATCTTTTGATTCTAACAGAAAGAGGATCAGAAAATGGAAGAGAGTATATACTCAGCGGTGGCGGAAGAAAACGAGGAAGAAGCGCCACCACCGCCGCCGCCTCGTGGCGAGAGTCTCTCCCGCGCCCCCGTGCGGCCGCTACCCGCTATACCCACGAGCACATCCCTTGGTAAGTACTAGAAACAGATAGACTTACAAAAAGCAACCTCTTTAAAAAACACACAGATATTTTATTGGAAATATTTGAATTTGGAAACGCTAAATCGCGTGTCTAAAAATGAGTCTTGTTTGTTTGTTTGTAACACTTTATGTATAAAAACTTAAATTATAGGATAAGAAAGGAATGAGTACAAAAGAGATTTCTTCCAGTCAACCTTTGAATGTTTGATAGAAATTGTGAATTGACGGCGACAAAAAATTAATAGATCAATTTATAATAATCAATGTGAACAATAGGTTTTGCTTCGTAACGTGTAGATTTAGAAAACAGAATCTTCAATAGTTACAAAATTAATATGTTACCAATATGGAGGGTCCATTTCCATATTGGTATATGCGCGAAAAGAATTGTGAAGATCAAATTATGAATCAGAATAGACACCGCGGATATTACAGCCGTGTGGTCCTGGCAGAGAATAAGCCACTTTTCTCGTGGGTGTTGTAAGAGATGACTAAGGGAACTTAATGCTCAAGGAATGGGTAGCAGTGTCCCTCTTAAAATATCACGCCTAACTAAGATTGTCAGCCTGCCTGCCAAACGTGGCAATTACTGGCAAAACTCCCCTAGGGGAAGGCCTATGTTCAGCAGTGATCAATTGACGGCTGATATGGTAAATGGTATGCTTCATTAGACAACCATTATATTGATGGTGTTGTAATATGGGTTGGATTGTAACCTGTGTATGTTAGGGGGGAAAGGGATTGTTAGCAATGGAGTTTGACAGCCCCATTGCTAGCAATATGCCTTATTAGGTCGACCTCCACGTGGTTCCCCCTGGAAACCATCGTGAACAATTCTTGTTGATTTCGTCATGATGGCCTACTTCATCCTCACCTATCATCCTTTACTGGTGCCCCGCCGGTGTATACCGATAGCGCGGGTGGGGTTACCATTCCATTATCATCCATTAAAAAAAACCTGTGTATGTTAACGTAAATTCCATACAACACTCGTTTCCCATAAGTGGAGGTGTTATCCCAAGCATAATGAAGCATAGTAATCAAAAATATGGTTTATTTATTTAATACAAAAATTTACAGCTGTTAAAAAATAACTTACGTGCTAATTCTCTTATAAATACAGCCAATAATGGATTTTAATTATATAAACGAAAAATTATAATTCTAAAGCAAGGTTAGCAAGTCAGAGTGAATGTATGTAAGTAATGTAAGTGTATGTATGAAAGAAACTATAACAATGAGTGTTTATAAAGTCAGGTTGATTAATATATAAATTAAATTAAAACTATGTTATGTGAAGTATAGATGTATGAGTGGGTAGGGTAGTTATTAAGTAGTTGATAATTGTTAGTTTCTTTTCATCGTATAATATATACTATAATATATTATATAATATAATAATACACAATAACCTGCCATGTAAGCGACCGTTACTTTTTTGGAGGGAAAACGGATCGACACCGCACACAAATGTTTGTTAATCACATGTCACTTGTTGGTACGTGCAAGAATTTTGTGGCCAATCAATTGGGAACTTATTGGATTTTTTAATGGGTGATAATGGAATGGTAAACCCACCCGCGCTATCGGTATACACCGGTAGGGCACCAGTGAAGGATGATAGGTGAGGATGAAGCAGGTCAGTTAGCTTATTGTGACGAATTCAACAAGAATTGTTCACGATGGTTTCCAGGAGGAACCACCTGGAGATCGACCTAATAGGGCATTTTGCTAGCAATGGGGTTGTCAAACTCCGTTGCTAGCAATCCATTTCCCCCCAATGGCAGAGGGATGGGCAGCAGCATCCCTCGTAAGATATCTCTAATAGCCTAACTATAGTTGTTGGGGGAAAGGGATTATTAGCAATGGAGTTTGACAGCCCCATTGTTAGCAATATGCCTTATTAGGTCAACCTCCACGTGATTCTCCCTGGAAACCATGGTGAACAATTCTTGTTGAATTCGTCATGATGGGCTAACTGACCTATTTCATCCTCACCTATCTTTCACTGGTGGGTGGGGTTACCATTCCATTATCATCCACTAAAAAAAAACTATGGTTGTTAACCCGCCTACCAAGCGTGGCAAATACTGGTAAAACTCCCCTTATGGGAAAGGCTTCTGTTCAGCAGTGGAGAGCTAGCCGATGTAATGATGAAATAATTGGCTTAATTATATATGTAGTAATGTGCAAGAATTTACATTGTATGAGGTTCGCTTGTAAGTAAGTAAGCTGTTAATTCGCCTATATCCTATACTAGTTATATCCCGTAACTTTGATTGTATATCCAGGAAAAAGTGTTGTTTATATTGGTGGTGATATTATATGTTATATATACATTATGGATTCGATTATTAAATTAACTTATAATTATATATAAAACAAGGACATTCACAAAAGAATCAATGAAATTGGCATAGCTAGATGGACAAGCAAGCTGAAGTGGCAATGGGCTGGTCACATAGCTCAAAGAACCGACAACCGATGGGGAAGAAAGACTCTTTAGTTGTGACCCCGTACGGGCAAACGCAGTGTAGGGCGAGTCCCCACTAGATGGAGTAACGACCTCAAATGTATTGTAGGGAGTTAGTGGATGCAGGTGGCTCAGAGCCGTTCTTTATGGCAGTCTATGGGGGAGGCTTATGTCCAACAGTGGACGGATAATGGCCGAGATGATGCTGATATAACAAATAAATAATGGATATTTTTGACGACCTTGATAGTTTAGTGGTTTTTTTTTGATGGGTGAAAATGGTATGGTAACTCCGCCTGCGCTAACGGGATACGCTGGCGGAGCACCAGTAAAGGGTGATAGATGAGAATGAAAACAGACCAGTTAGCCCATCATGATGAATTCATCAGGAATTAACCATGATAGTTTCCAGGGAGAACCGCGAGGAGGTCGACCTGGTTGGGTATATTACTATCAATGGGATTCCCAGTCTCCATTACTAACAATCCCTTTCCCCCCAGTTTAGTGGTTTAAAACACCGCGTTAACTTCCGATGAACGTGGGTTCGATCTTTGCGCAATACAGACCTTTGTATTGGTTTTGGTGATTTCTGTATATTTAAATGTCAGTTAGTACCTTTAATTGGAACTAGATGGCGTTGTGTAATATTTGCAGTATTGCATTTATTTATAATTGTTATTTTGTACGAACGGACCGTAAGAATATCGGGACACGTTGCAGGCAACCTGAACTACGCGCGTCAGGAGTCGTCCAGTTCGGACGAGTGTCCACCGACGCCGCCCGCTCGCGAGTCTTCATCCGCCACCTCGTCGCAGGCGTCCTCCGCTGACGATGAGGATGATGAGCCGACACCAACACACATTGACAGGTAATTAGTTTAATATGCACAAGATATTTTATGATGCTGTAAATAGCAAACATACTGACTGCTCGTCTGATGGAAAGAGAGTACTGTCGTCTGTAGACATGGAGAGCGTCTTGGATATCACTGTGATACCCATGATATGGAATGGGACGTTATGTCTCTGTAATCTGCAATTTCATTGCCATATCTCATCTTCAAACTATAGCCATGTAAGCACAGATGCTTCACGGCAGAGATAAGGGTGGGACAGGTATAAATTGTCTACGTTAACATGGCATGCTGCTCCAACGTTTTACTTCAATGTGTGTGACAATATACAGACATTAGTGTTCTGTTTGTATTTTGTTTATACAACTTAGAATGGCAAACATGCTGTCGGCCCACCTGATGGTAAGTGGTAACCGTCGCCTATAGACATGAGCAGTACCATGGGCATAACGGAGTATACTGTTTCGCCTTCCTAAGGACTCAGGTGTTATTCCTCTATACCCTGTAAATTCACGTCACATCCCACCCTTCAAACCGAAACAGAGCCATACAAACACAACTGCTTCACGGTTGAAACACGAATGGGACAAAACAGAGAGAAAACATCAGTGCTACGGTCAGGGAAGGTCGAAACCTTGTAAATATTTTTATTCACACATATTTAATTCTTTGTATTTTGAAGGAGCGTACTATGTTGAAATTAATAGCATAGTTTCCATGCAGACTTTGAACTTTGTGCAAAGTCTTCTGGTGTTGTTGCAAGTGTTCTATCCATGTATACTTGTAAATGGAAAAACGGTGGATGCATGCATGGTTTTTTGTTAATCTTTCACACAAAAACTACTGAACGTATTTGAATGGAATTTGGTACACCAGTAAGTTATATTCTAGCTTAGCACAAAGTACCTTATGTAATGCATAACTTTACTTTTTTTTATATATAAATTCTTCCTTCATTCATACTTGTTTCAATATTTATTTTCAAATAAATTGTAGATAATTATTTTCCATTTTTTTTTTATAATATCTCATTTAATTTCCCTGTTTACCTACGGGTGACTAGGAGAGAGCGCCGTAAGATGTCGAAACCGCTGTATATACACTTTATTTGTGCATTAAAGTGTAATCCCCTTAGTTCTGTTTCGGTCACGATCGATCTCGAAGTGTTTCTGCTTGACATTATTTTACCAGACCGAGAACGAACCGGCATTACAATATGAAACAAAATTTATTAGTTAAAAATAAAATCTAGATACCTATTTTAACTGTTTCCTATTTTATTTAGACCTAAATTTAAAAAAAATAATTAGGCGAAAAAAAGCAGACACTAAAAATGCGTTTATGAATAATGGAAATTAATCGTGGTATATAAAAATCCATCCATGTTAAAGTGTCTGTTCACGGTAACTGACTTTACCAGAGGGAGACTTTGTACAAAAGTCGATTGCTTGGGTACCTCTGTCCCATTCGTGTTTCTACCGTGAAGCAGTTGTGTTTGCATGGCTGTGTTTCGGTTTGAAGGGTGGAATATGGCGTAAATTTACAGGGTACAGAGGAATAACACCTGAGTCCTCAGGAATGGCAACGCATGGGGGGTATCATGGGCGAAACAGTATACTCTGTTATGTCTATGGTACTGCTCATGTCTATAGGCGACGGTTACTACTTTCCATAAGGTGGGCCGTCAGCTTGTTCGACATTCTAAGTTGTATAAAAAAAAACTGACTGACTTTATGGTAACTTTTTTAGTCGATATTAATGATTTTTTCCTGTGTATGTTACTTCAACTCAAAAAATGGGTCAGTGTTTGTTTTGATAACGGAAAATGGACCCGGAGTGTTTATAATCGAATTTCTCTGAAATGGCTTAACCGTTTTTATGATTATTTTTATATATATATATATATATATATATATATATATATATATATATATATATATATTCACTTGATGATCTATATCTTAAATAACAAAGTTTAAGAGACTCTCGCCATTTTTTGTACCTATGTAATAATGTGAAACGCATGTAACACTTGTGTTTACATCGACAGTGGCGACACCACGGAGGCACGTGACACGCTGCGCAGGCGCCGCACCCGCGAGCTAGCCGACCGCGTGTCCGCGATGAAGCGCCGCGCCCGCGACGCCGAGAAGTGGCACGCAATCAAGAGGTCGCTCTATAAACCACTCACAATCACTTTTGGCTTCTTAATTGCCGGCATTTTCATTTATTCATATGTCAAGCACTAGCCACATTTAACACGTATCTCCCATCAATAATTTGTGTAATTATCACCAACACGAACTATCCGATTCAGTGATTTGCTTTCGTCCGTATTGATACATTTGCGATGTTATTTGTTTATTCTTTTTTTTTTCTTTATTTAGTTTACTATCGAACTAATTTTTTTTTTTTATTTTATTTTTTTTGTTATCGTAAATGTTGTTAATACACGAAAGTCTATTATTGCATTTGTTTAAACAGTAACCACCGTTGCTTCTTACATATTAATTTCCGGCAGCTCTTTATTGATTTAATTTCTAGTTATTTAGCGTTTTTATACTTAACAATTTAATGATATATCATTAATAACTGAAGCGTATGTGATACGGTATCATTAATGTAACTTTACACCATGTGGGTAAATGTTTAAGTATATAAGGGTAGCAGAACTCTGCGCTATACAACGATAAACGTAAATAGGTGTATGAAGCGATGCAAAGTGGATAGTGTACATGAAATTGAATAACAATTCTCAGAGGAGTCAATTTAAAATATGGCCACAATTCTTCGAACCTAGTGTATGTGAATGTGAAAAAGACTCCATTTTCCGCGCTTAGCCTCTCATTTGGGCCGTTGTGCGTATGAGTCGTGGCTAGTGCAGCCAACCTAGCTTCGCCGAGAAGCGCAGAAGCTTCCTGGGTTCTTCACAGGCCTCACGGAGCGACCTCACCGTTCCGTGGATTTCTAAACGTTGATGGGCCACAGCGAACCTGGTGTAACCGAAATGGGTTTTACACACCGAACCGAAATTGGTTCCGAAGTATTCTTCCTTCTTTATTCTTATTTCTTTCCTTCCTTTGGAAGTATATTTTTTAAATGACTCTTTCTGCTAAATAATGTTTTCCACTCCGATAATATGTTAGAAAAGCAATTTATATTTTCTTTTATTCTATTGATTAAACGTGAAATGGTAACATAGCTTGTGCCGTTTGTTTACGCTAGCAGAGTGAAGGGGGACAGGTGACAGTGAGGTGAGATCAGTTGGCTCGTTGTAGGTGTCGCCCTGACAGGATATTTTGTCATCATTAGTGCCGCTTGTTCTCGCTACTCACGATACTAGCCAACAACCTATATTTTATTAAAGAGAATAAAAAGAATTAGCAAAGAATTATATATTGTATGTAACAATCAACACCCATATATGAACATCTAGTTACCATAGCGACCTAAACACAGATATATAACTACACTGATTTAAGATCACTAAACATTCCACATACTGGAAGTGCTTCCATAACATATTTGGAACAGCTTCTTGGCCTTTACACGAAGGTCAAAGTGATCTATGTTTTTATTTTCTTCCTTGATAAATGTTACTCGATTTCATTAACATTATCACTGGGTTTTTAGTTGATATACCTATTACGGTTAATCGTGTGTATTCAGCAGATTATGCACTTTAATGAGAGAATAATATTGTATTTTTGATTAAAGTAACTTTATAATTAAGATATGATTGCATGAGCGTGAACATTGTATGTTGTATGCTCATACACCATGAAGTGTCTTTTGTTACACCAATTAGTATGTTAGAAATAAAACTATTTCGTTTCTCCATGTGACACATTGACAGGGAACTTTGTCCATCGAATGTCTAACGACTTCTCTTTTTGAATTATTTAAAAAATCATAAAATGCTAAAGGAATTAAAAATATGTAAAAACAAAAAAAAATATTGTATTTTGTTATTCTATTTTTTTTTTATGACTGATTATTAAAAGATCTTAAATCGAATTTAGAAGAAGTTTATTTTATATATTCACAACTGAATAGACAGCAAAATTTGTTTATTCCTCCTCAATCGATTAGGGATGTACTTGGTTACACAGAGTCGTTTAATTTCAATGACCACTAGTATGAACTACAAAACCCAGCTTCTTTAGTAGTTTATTACAAATATTGATATAACTAAATATGAATGAGTGAATAAAGAAGAATTGGTACTTCTACAGGAATTTATTTCCACTATACATTTTAAATAACTCGGATGCATTCAGTTGTACATTTATTTCCATGCTAGTGTTGCCACCAGCGAAATAGTTTTTTTTTTTTTTCGTAGAACTGAATTCATCGGTTTCATTTTAATCTTTGTATTCTATCTTATTTCAAATAGATACTAAATGACTGAATAATATTAACAATAACTATATGCAAAGGACTTCTATATTTTATTATGAATACTTTTGTTATAAGTGATCATAAAGATCGACCATTGAATGGTTGCATTTTCTATTAAAGATATATATATTGAACAATTCTCGCAATTTATTTACAAGACCTTTAGTTGTGGTTCTTAAAATTGTCCAATTATAATTGACTACATTTTACCTTTTGATTATAATGAAAAAAAAAGTAACCTATATCTACGAGTAGTTGCGTAAAAAATATCTTATTATTTCCTAAATTCAATGATATCGAATAATACAAAAACCGTTAAAGCGCCAAGAGGCAATAAACAAACTAACTTTCATGTCTACAATATTAGTAAAGATATACGAATTAGAATCGCGAACAAGCAGAAGTCCCTTATGGATAACTATTGCTTATACTTAAACAACATTACAGATTAATCCTTTTATTGATAAAAACGTCACACGTGTCGTGAACCTATTTTAGTTATTGTTTTGTCTTTGGAACTATATTCTCAATTTGAAAGAGAGTGGAAAACAATTAAATAGTTAAAATAGGTTTATGGCCGTTTTTAGTTTTTACGAATAAAGAGGTAACTCTGTATTGTCTATGGTAGCCTAGACCTTTAATACGGGGCCCATTAATTCGACGTCCAATAATTATTCATTATTTACATTATAACTTCAAATTGAAACAGCAGCGTGGGCGGAACAACTGTGGATCGTAGGCACCCAAGCAGGCCACTTCGTAAGTCTCCCTCTGGTTTCCGCTTCGGGTAAATTCCTATCTGATAACATCTAGACATAGCAATGATATTAAATATTCTAAACTAGCCGCAGCCTGCGACTGTCTGTGTGAAATGATGTAAGAACTTTCCTACAAATCAACTTAGTATATTTTTGTATTAAATTTCATTCAAATCCATTCCGCCGCTTAAGTGTGATTGAGTGACAAACTCAATTCTCGTTGATAGTTATTTAAAGTTAAAATTTATTAAAACTATAAATAATTATAGCATTTTGATTAACCTCTTATTCATAAAAGCATCAGACGCCTTATAAACCTATTTTAGATAACTAAACTGTTTTGTCTCTTATAAGTTCCAAATTTGAAACGAAGTGAAAAAGCAGTTTTACTTTTTATAAATAAGGGCTTCGTATTTATAAAAACACCAAACGTGTCACAAATCTATATTCGTTATTCAACTGTTTGGTCCATTTCTTTTGAGTTAAATTCTAAATTTGAAAGCAAGTGACAAAACAGTGTAATAGATAAAATAGATTAGTACAAAGTTTTATTTTTTATGAATATGGGCCTACTTATCATAAAAACATCAAACGTTTCACGAATCTATTATTATTTTAGTTGTACAACTATTTTGTCTACTTTCCTTTGACTTAAATTCCAAATTTGAAATAAAGTGACAAGACAGTGTAATAGATAAAATAGATTTGTACAAGGTTTTAGTTTTTATGAATAAAGGGGTGTTAGTCTTTTATTATTATTGGACATTTTTAGAATAAATACGGCATGTCATGTAAACAAATTTGCGAATAAAAACAATGGATCTATTTGATTTTGCTTAAGAACCGTCACTTGCGAATAAAGTTCACAACGGATATAGTGTTTAACATATTCCCCAATCCATTAAAAACTAGCTTTTTTTTTTTTTAAATATCGTTCGATTGTCTATAGCCCTTATAATATCTTATCCTTATTACCAATTATTTATGGTCGACGTAATCTGTTTTTCTCTCCCATTCATCTCTATTTGTAGTCATTTCAGCATTCACTGCCATTCTCATATCGTCCTTACCAGGTCCATTCATATATTAACTTAATATATTAATGGTATACAAATCTATGGATTTGTCTTACTATTATACTTATATATATTTAGTGTTATCAACCTTTGAGGGGAATGTTTTTTTTTTTTCATAATAAACATTTCCACCTAAGAATCATGGGTTGAAAAACAACTAAAAAATTAAGAAAAAAACAAACTAATATAACAAGTTCAGCTGTGAAGTAACTCCCTTGTTTATAAAAAAATCCAACCTCTTATAAACCTTTTTTATCTATTGAACTGTTTTGTCTCGTTCTTTTGTATTATATTATAAATTTGTTAATAGGTTTCAGTTTTTATGAATTAGTGAGTTAGTATAGGTGACTTGAAAATTTGACGTTTTTTAATCATCGATTCATTAAATTTCTGTCTCAGTGAGGCCAATTCAGAGGTGCCATTCCTAAATCTAAAATTTCAATTTGGTATCACAGTGAAATGTTTATTGTAAGAACTAATATGAGATAATATTCTAATAGTTTTAAGTCAAAATTAATATTTTATAACTTTAATTTATAATGACCCATAAAATAGTTATTTTGCAAAATGATCAAATTAAATATTAAGTTATGAGATAGGTTAAGGGAAATAGCTCCTCTGAATCGACCCCATAAACATATTTGCAAACTACTGTTTTATAGACCAAAATAAACTAAAATTATAATGATTTTGACTTATAACCATTAGCATGGGCAGATTTTTAATTTCACATTAAGCTATCTCGATCCTGTAGGTCTATCTATAGATTTGTATTATTTTCATTAAAAAAAAAATCGTCTTATTCCAATCAAGACAATCTTTTGTTTAGATAAACAGTTAAGGCCCTTTAAGTGAGACGCCTAAACATGTATATTTAGCCCTCGTTTATGGCAAGTTTAATTTCTTCTTTTTGTTTTTGCTCATATCGGTTTTTTTTTTGTTACATTTCGGTACAGTGGTTACGTTTTAAAGCTATGCCTATACGATATATACTAAATGTTTTATATGAATTTTAAACTGACTGCCTAATCACTGATCAGTTAGTACCCTCTAATCTACTGTCTACTGCTCAGTTAAAAATAATATAATTCATTTAATACGTGATAATTCCACATACATTATTTGTTTATTTGTGTTATCTTAATAGAGTGTATAGTATTGATAATCGACGACAAATAACACGAATATTGGGTTGGGCCATTTATTAGTAAACATAATTAGAAACATTGAGCAATATTCGAGAGTACAACATTACGAAATTAATTTTTATATGAGAAAATTTTTGATGTAATATTGTAGATTTATTATATTTTTAAAATTCACGACGCTGTGTAATTCTGACAGCATAAATTAATAAGCGTATAGGAAAATATTCTTTCTGATGATTTTCATATTCTTCAAACGTCAAAGTTCAAAGATAGAGTCTTCTTTTGTTCAATTGTAATCGCCAGGCTTCGATTTAGCTATTTTGCCGCTTCGGGCAAACAATACTTGCCGCCCTTGACAATGTCGCTTTATAAAAATATTATACATAATTAACAAGTTAAAATCTTATTACAAGGATAACTAGTGATGCGAAAACGCGCGGGATAGGCAGAGTGACAACAGTCGCCCTCGAATTTTGCCGCTCTAGGCAATTGTCCGATTTGCAATTATTGTCATTGTAAATAAATTATTAAATTGCAAGGGAGGAATACGGATTTCTGTAGCGTTAAAGATTTAATTTCATTTTGACAGAGTTTGCCAGTTTATTGCGGTAATTTTTTTTATTAAATAATAAACATCGTTGGTGACGGCTCTTAATTATTTTTACAACGATAGTTTTTTTTTTCATTTAACACAAAAATATTGTGTAAAAGTCACAAGGCATAAATGTACATAGATAGATTTTTTAATATGATTTGCCCATTTTTGACCTTTTTTTTATTTAATGTCTACAATAGACGACCACCGATATTTAAATATGTTTGTCTGTCTTTTAGTTACTACGTAAAAATATGTGTTATTCAGTCCTTCAAATAAAAAAAATAATATGAATCAAATGAGATTGTCAAAAAGGTTTATAGCTCTTTTTTCGTGTTGTTTATATAAATATATATTTTTAAACAATACTGCTCTCGTTTAAAAGAAGTACAAACATTTGGCTGTCAACTGTCAAATCACCTATCAACTGTCAAGACAGCTGTCACTGTCAAGACTGCCATCAACTGTCACCTTATATGGATTTTTATTAGCGATATTCATTCTTCTACGTACATTTGGAATATCTTTATTATTAAAATAAAAGATCTCGAATTGTATATAAAGGTCAATACATTATTAGTAATAAGAAATTGCAATATAGAAATACCTACACGTTGGTTAGTTAAATCCACTATGGTAGATGGCGCCTGCGTCGATTTTCAATTTTTTTGAGATCGGTGCAATATGTTTTCCGCTTCTACATATTTCTATAACATCTTTTCACTCCAAAAAGTATGTTGAATATTACCCCTTGTTCACGCATATACTATATCAGCCATTAAGTGTCCACCGATGAACATAGGTCTTTCCCTATTGGGGGAGGATTTGCCATGTTTGGCAGGCGGTTGGCAACCGCAGTTAGATTCTGGTGATGTTTCAAAAAGGATGGTACTGCCTATACCTCGTTAAATTCCCTTAATAATTTCTTACGACACCCATGGGAAAAGAAGGGATGGCCCATTCTATGCCGTTACCACGTGACATCCGCGCATATGCTATTTATCAAATGTATGCACTTTTAAACTGAGAGCAGTTCACACATCCATTACAACAGCACTATTTCCAGACAAGCGGCTCGCCATTTGAATTTGGCCTTTATATCTTGTGTAGTATAATACAATTTGCAATGACAAGATATAACAAACAAAGAGAGCGGTTGCCTCATTCATGACAAATTTCTCGTAGCAATCCGAAATGTTAATTAAAGCTCCTATCCTCTTATACATCGAAATTGCTCATCGATAAGACCTCTTGAACTATACTTGAACAATTCATATAATATTGGTGCAATAAAATATTAAATAAATAAACCTTCTATAATTAGGCTTTGGGTGAATAACAGCACTGTAATTATTGATTTGATTACAGGATAATTACTATGTCGGTTATTTATTTCAACTTACAAATTTAGTATAAAAATTTTGTTTTCTTTGTTCCATCCCATCCAATTCTATATTTATATAATTTTATAGAAAAAAAATTCTGTATAAGACAAAAAAATTTTTTTTTCTTTTAATGTAACATTAAAGTGTTAAGCCACATTTTTTAAATAGATACCTTAATACAAAATAAAAAAAAATAAAACATTTAATATCTAAATTAAATTTATTAGATTCACAGAAAATTGAATAAGAAGGTAAATTCAAATGGCATGCGCTTACTGTATCGGAACGTTGCTGTTGTTACGTGTGATAATAGTTCCAATAATTTATTATCAAAATAATTAAAAAACGATACCGCTGACGTAGTACGTCAGTGATCGCCACTTATATAAAAATTAAATCATAACCGTCATACATAAATTAATAAAACATGAGCTTAAACTCATTGTAGATGAATTTCTAGTATGTAAATCGTAATAAGTGCGTAATTACGACTTAATGCATGCATAGGATTGAGAGAAAAAAGAAAATACAAAAAAAAAAATTGGCCGTCATTCAAAGGTCATAAATAATTTTAAACGATTAAAAAATAAAACTGTAATACTCTCACTTTATAGTCACGTGTTCGTATTAAATATTTTATACAAAAAATCATTAGATAAAAATCAATTAATTTTATTATCAATTTTGATATATATTCGTGGTTATGAATGTACTGAAGTCAATTATTCTTGTCTTTTTACAAACCACAATTTTATTTTTTTATTTTCTATGATTTTTTGTGCATAGCAAACGAAATAATCGTTCATATTTTGACTTTTTTTTTTAATATTAGTTAATTATGAAAATAAAATAATTAAATAAAAGTAATCAATATCATTTAAAAATGGGCCAATATTATTTAAAACCTGTGTCTGACCATAGTCGAAAAATATTAACCTAAATAGATGCCTCAACTACATATATGTTGCTTTATTTTGGGTATAATCGTGCCTAGTTAATTATGGCTAAATTTCGTTTCGTGACCCTTATAATTATGAGATGTGTGTTGAAAAAAGTTCATAGAATTGACAAGCCTCCGTTAGAAATAATGTTTTCGAAATATTTTTTTTTTTTATCAAAAACTAAATATCATATCAAATAATTTTGCAGTGAGTTAATTCTTTTTTTTATATAATGGAACTATGGTACATGTGGCATCTATATATGTCTGCGCATAGACAAGAAATTGTCAGAAATAACCGATTCCCGCCATTTTTTCTGTCAAATAATTATTTTCTTCGATAACTCATTATGTATGCGTTAGGCCGTATTGAATATATAGTTCGTATAGATAATTTAGTGTATATTGTTTGAAGTTAGGTTAACTATGTCTTAACATCAGAGTTGTGATCGAAATTATGAAATGCATTAAAATGTGCAAGGGTAACGCATTTGTATAGGCTTTAACTCGTGTCAAGAATACCAACTAGGTAGAGTTTAAATTAAAAAGTTATGTATAAAATTTAAACAGACTCGATTATAAAGATTAATATAGAGCAAATCGATGTCATCAGGGTCGATTCTGAGGCGCATTTCTTTAAATTTTCATTTCTTAACTTATTAATTAGGGAAGGGGAAAAGTATTATAAGTAATGGGGTTTGACAGCCCTATTGCTAACAATATACCTTATCAGGTCGACCTCCACGTGGTTCCTACTGGAAACCATCGCGGCTAATTCTTGTTGAATTTGTCACGATGGGCTTAACTGACCTGCTTCATCTTCACCTATCATCACTCACTGGTGTCCCGCCGGTGTATACCGATAGCGCATGCGGGGTTACCATTCCATTATCATCCATTAAAAAAAAACTATTAATTAGATCGTTTAACAAAATTATTGTTTTGTGGACTATCATAAATTAAATTTATAATATTTTTTACTTAAATCTATTAGAAAATTAGTCCATATTGACCCTCAAAATAAAGGTTTCGTTGTAATTTTAAATTGAAATATTAATATTAGAGATAGGTTTAAAGAAATAGCACCTGAGAGTCAACCCTATTTATCATGTTTCTTAATGGAAATTGTCTATCAGGAAAACAAATTTTTTTTTGGTCGACAACGACAAAAATTTTATGTTAGTTGACAAATGTATGCGTCATGTTAGTACAGCAAGCATAAAATATATAGACGCTTATTGTCCAAAATATTTTTAGAAAAATTTATTAGTTTAGCTGATAATTCCTTGATTATGATATTGACAATTTCACTCTATATACCTAAAGTGCATAAAGATCTAAAAGTTTAGTCAGACTGCAAACTTAAATTTGAAGTTGCAGCAAAGTATCAAAAATTATCTCGGCCGTTTTTGGCGTTGCCACCTGTAATCTAGTTGGTATTACTGATCGATGCTCGAATAGGATATACCTTCATTTGTTTTTCACCCATGGAACAACGACTTCATGGACACGCTGTCTTTAATATTTAAAGCGTACATTCTAATCGTAAATTGCATAACTTCGTTTGAAGCAAAAGGTGCTAACCGCGTTGACCACAACACGTTTGTAGTCGTAACAGACATTAGGTTAGATAATTATTCGGGTTGCGATAAAAAAAAAATTGAACGGCAGTTTATTAATTTCAGGTTTAAATCGGAGGGAAACCCTCCTACCGAACCACGTGAAGACTGAGAAGATTAGGTAAAACTTAGAACAATTATTGTATTATGAACAATTGGACATATCTTGGTTAGTGGTGATTAGCTTTGAGGAGGGTGCGGTTGGCCTGATAAAGCGTTATTCACACAGCTCCGGGTACGGGTATGTCAGTCATCAGTCAGCAGGGGCGGGGAGAGATTGTTAGTGTACTTCTTTCTTCGTGGGCGTTCGTTGTTTCAAATCATACTTTAATGTATATTATATATTATATATATTTGCAACTCCTGATTTTATATGAAATGTTTTGTTATAACTATCCATATGATCTATATATGGTATAAATATGGTTACATATTTAAAATGAATGTAAGACTGATATTAACAATAATGCGCAATTCTTTTGTATTAAACAAGGGTACAATAAAACGCGGGTAACGTTACACATGTGTAACGAATGGCTTATCCCTGATCCGGCCATATACATGGCCCTGGTGGCCTGACGTATGGATCCTGGAACCTGTAACGCTGTGTGAATAGAGCTTTGTGTAGTAGACGCGTGCGCGACCAATCCCTGCAGCCCGCGTGTTAGTCCCTGTCCGACAGTCCGGCTTCCGTCCTATCGCTGACGCTGTGTCAAATTTTTCGATGATCTTTACAAATGGTTTTTTATAATTCTGAACATCACGCGAACTGTCCCTTACGGTAGCCAAAGATATATGTCATCCTATTTGATAAGTCGCCGAGGCTTCGGACGTAACTGTTGAATGGTAATGTTTAGACTGTGACCCATTCATTGTGTATGATGCTTTGTTGTTTTTATGTCGTTCGTGCACTAGTATTATATAGTTGTTTTACTTGTCTTGACCACGGTTAGTGATTTATTCATACAGGTTGAAATCGAAATCTTCCTGTCCTTTTTAAGGTGTCTTCCACTAATATTACTGAACATTTTTTCTTTCCAATTGAACATGTAAATGGAAAAACAACAAAATATATTTCCATTACCATATTAATTTGACAACACGACGTGTTGAATTAGTATGAAAGGCTCAATGTTATTGTTTTTTTCTATCCATTTTCTTTTTTTGGTTAAAAAATATTCAGTTTATTGGTAGAACCCTTATTTAAAAGGATACTAATGACTTATACCATTATTTATAAAAAAAAAACTATTAAATCTCACATAAATCTATTTTAGCTATTCAACAATTTTGTCTCTTTCTTTTGCGCTAAATTCTCAACTTGAATGAAAGTGACAAAATAGTGTTTTAGTTAAAAAAGATTTGTTGAAAATTTTAATTTTTATTAATAATGGAGGTTAGATTTCACTCTGTATTAATTATAATAAAAATATGTAACGTTTATTTAAAAAGAAATAGTATCTAATAGGGTATTTGTCTATGGAATAGTTTAAATCTGTGTGTTGTGATTTCTGTACTATATGGAAGCTGCATTTTTATTAGTCTATAGTTTCTTTACATTAATATAAAGTCCTTGAATGCAATATATACTAGTTATACTATATCTATAGGTACAATAGCGGATCCGTTGAATGATCAACGGTTCAGTTATCGAGTGTATCAATTTTGGGAATTAAATTCTTCGAAGTTGTTATCTGGCGTTATAACAGATCTCATTATGTCTCGCGTTTCATATTTCTTACTGTCTGCATATTGTATGAGTGAGACCAAATTAAACCTTATGTCAATTGCATTGATTACGTTTTAATTCATCCCTGAACGTAGTTTGTTAGGTTGTGCTTTGGTTACTCTGTGCTCCACGTGACAGTTGTTTTTTTTTTTTTTTGTTTACTCAGAATTTATTACTATTTAAAATGGTTGTCTGGTGTTTATTTTAGTTTCTAAATAATAGAAAATTTATACAATTATATTTGTTTAAAGACTTTTCTTTGTTACTTTGTTATGAATTAATATAATATCTTAATAAGTTAGATATTGCCTGAACATGCCAGTTTCCCATCGATTAATAAGTGACCTCACTCGCTAAATATTACCATCTCAACAGTTAAATATCTTTTTATATTCAATTATATATATATATATATATATATATATATATATATATATATATATATATATATATATATATATATATATATATATATATATATATATATATATATATATATATCGTATCTATATATTATATACCTTATACAGTACATATAAGGTGTATATTTGTATACATTGCACGTTAATATTGCCAGCTATCCTCGACACCCTATAACCAGAAATGAATACTAACATTTACACGTCATAATACATTTACAACGAAACCATTAAAAATATATTAATCTTAATATCTAATTATACCTACTTAATCCTAAATATTTATTACTGACGCGTAGCTACGCATCTATGCAACATTTGTATGTGCTGTGTTGTATTAAATTTTATATATGAATTTTTATACAACCAATGAATAACTACTAATTTACCTTGACACTTAGATATAATGATTTTGCACGAAATTATGTCGTAGTTGAAGGATACCCTTAACCACGGATAGACGGGTCGAAAATGCGCCGAGCGGGACCGGACCGACCCCTTAACATTGCTTAATTATGGTACTCCACGGACGAGAGAAAATAAGAATCCGCCGCGCCTCTTATGGGCTACAAAATTTAATTGATATGTGCACCGAATGTGAATAGGTGACTTTGCAATTTTTGGCCATTTTGCATCCTAAAAATTGTATAGCGTATAGGGTATAGGGGGAGCAAAGAGCAAATCTCACACATAATACGCGTCCTCGTAGATAAGCCACGTTGTTAGAAAACATACAAATCTATTTTTAACTATTACATTGTTGGTCACTTTCTTTCAAATTGGTAATTTAAATAAAAAGAAAGAGACAAAACATAATAATAGTTAAAATAGGTTTATGTGACGTTTGACATTTTTATTAATAAGGAGATTCTAATATAGAGATCTCCAAACAGCCAGTTTACGGATGATAATTCAAAATTCAAAAGTGTTCGATTCTAAGCCGCCATGTCTCTAAACCTACCACTTAATTTCGAAAACAAATTAAAATAATAGGTAACTATTTTATGGAGCATCATAAATGGCCGTAGCTACGGGAGAGGCATCGAGGGGCAATGTCCTACCTTAAAATGAAAGGCGTCAAGAAAATTAGATAGATTCGCTTTTTCGAAATCACTTAATTATTAAGAGCTTCTGCCCTATCAAATACTTCTTTTGCCCTACCCTAAACGTGGGTTTAGCTACAGCCCTGCGCGGAATTCTTTTTTCTCGGCCGTGGCATATCTGAGTGCAAACTTTTATTAATCTCTAATCGAATGATTTCTATCTACACTGAGATTATAAACAGGACGCGTATATATTATTTAATATAAATAATTATTAAAAAAAAATGATTTATTTTATTATTCAAAATTTAAGAAAATATTCTTGAGCGTTTAGTCAAAAGAATTACATTAAGTTAAATCTAATGATAATATAATTGCCGGCCAGCCAGCTGCTATAAAGCACAGTGTTGGATCCCCATGGTTAAACCTTCGAAACAATTTGATTTGTAGTCCACATTTTTTTTTTCTTAGAGAACATATCTATAGAGATATGTTTTACTTATCAACTTTGTTCTACCATATAGAATAGATGTGCACTGTTAAAAAGTGCTCTATGATTTGTGTAATACGGTTCAAATTTGACAATTAGCTTACTGATTTGTGGCAACGTCGCAGTCACCTGTCATTTTTATAGAAACAATTGAACAATTTTGTTTTTTTTTCTCATTGATTATTTAAAAAGGAATCTGCTAGTGAATTGAACCGCAAATAGTACAATACATTTAATGGAATATATAAATGGAATTGTTGCATATAAATCCATCACCAGAGGGAGACTTTGTACAAAAGTCGTTTTGCTTGAGCACCTCTGTCCCATTCGTGTTTCAACCGTAAAGCAGTTTTGTTTGCATGGCTGTGTTTCGGTTTGAAGGGTGCGAGATGGCAGTGAATTTACAGGGTACAGAGGAATAACACCTGAGTCCTCAGGAATGGCAACGCATGGGGGGTGTCATGGGCGAAACAATATACTCTGTTATGTCCATGGTACTGCTCATGTCTATAGGCGACTGTTACCACTTTCCATCAGGTGGGCCGTTAGCTTGTTTGCCATTCTAAGTTGCATAAAAAAGAAAAAACCTTGCATCTACTATTTGGTAACTATTAGTACTATTTCGCTTTAATTTTTTTTTAATATACATATATTTGCAGTCACAATCCAAATTTCAGTGACAGTTTAATATTTTTTTTTTATACCACTGAGGTGGCAAACAAGCATACGGCCCACCTGATGGTAAGCGGTTACCGTAGCCTATGAACGCCTGCAATACCAGAGGTATTACGCGCGCGTTGCCGACCCTGAAGAAACCTCTTTACCCCCTTTTGAAGAACCCCATGCTGTAGTCTCTCGGGAAAACCTCGGCAGGGAGGTATATACAATATTACTGTATGACTGACGTTTTAATTCATTAACAGAGCACTTTTTAAATAATCAATCGGAAACATTAAAAAATGTTGCATTCTTTTTTTTAAATAAACAGATAAAAGCGACGTTGCCGTGCTTCGGCAAGCTGCAATATAAATGCTCTTAACCACCCGGGTCGCTTGCAGGCGCAATATGACGCAATTAATATTCCATATTTACCTATTAGATATTATTGACATGTACATAAATGTGAACTAAATATGTATGCCGTAAGTTCTAGAATATATGTTAGTGTTTAAATTAGTTAATTGAATTATTAATATTTTTCTATGAATACCTTTATTGGGGAAGCTTTTTTTTTATGTAATAAATATTATAATAGCTGAGTATACGAAGAGTTACAATAAGTTTTTGGTGGCATGTGTATATTTTTAGAGTTATTGTAAAAGGCAAGAGTTACAGAAGTATGAGTATTTGAAATATTTTTTTTTTTTTTGGTATTTTTAATAATTTTTCTTCGTATCAAAACGGAAACTTATTGTATTTTTTTTTAACAAATCCGAAATGGAGTTTTTTTGTTTTTTTTTGCTGTTTCATGCTAAAAGGTTTCAGGGGAAAAGGCATGGTACTTAGTCCTCGAGAGTTGTAAGGCATAGTGACATACTCGCCTGTAATTCTATGGATACCCATAGACGATTCGTGTCTATAAACGATGGTTTCTACTTTCCAAGAGGACTACAGCTTCAATGCTAGAGCCGTACAAAACAAAAAATATTTACTCATATTTTGGTAACTTTTGCATTAAAAATTGACATTTATCAATCAATACATAATACATCATAACACCATGTTGAAATTAATTTCGCTGTAGTTGTTAACTTATATAATACATAGATGAAACATGAAAATAGAATACGCTCTTAGCTTTTTGAATATTTTACTGTGGAAATAATTTTAATATTTAGACAATATATATCTAATAGTATTTGGTTTAGATACTGCAAATTAAAATGTTGCTCATAGGCATATTTTTTTTTATCTGTATGTTATATATAAGGTAGCACAGGCCAGTTATGGTTGTGGCGATAGATTTTCTTTGCCCTTTTTTGGTATTGGCACGATATCTTTTCTGATTATAATTTATAATTAGAACTATGTTGACCAGCATTTTTAAATAGAACCCGCTGACCTTTAAATCTTCGGTAGTTTTTTTTTTTTTTTTTTTACTGGGTATCGGCGTATTTTAAACCATACAAATTCTTGCAGTTTGATGTGCAGAGTTTTAATTAAACTTGGAACTGTTTGCCCACTAAAATCTATTGATTGTTTATAGTCCAACTTAAACTGTAGTATATAACTATTTAACGAGACCAATTCATAATATCTGGTTATCGAATAAAAATGTCAAAACATATTTTGATAAAATTCTCACCACGATTAAACTAAACCTATTAATGATTTATGACTTAGTAAAATTTGGACATTTCTTATATGTATTAAAATTTTAGCTCGCACAAGCATTCGGGCACTTGAGGCAATGCATTGACGTTTGTTACCATCGCAATTGCTGCACGATATACGAATTAGGTGTATACAATTAATCGTGGAATCGTGAACATTTATCGCCCCTCATCAGACAAGTGATAAATTGATCAATAAACCCGTTATAGCTAGCGAGTCTATAAGATAGAATGAGACAGCGACCTCTGGCGTCTTGTTCTTTCTCATGCGAGCGCTGACCGTAACGATTCTGTGCATAAATTAATTTGCCTTATGTCTTTAAGTCTATGGTTATAAATATGACCGTTCGAAAAAAGAACATTCCGTGCTTGGTACATACGCTCATTTTTTTTTAAGATAGTTTTACGGTTTTGGATGAGCATTTAGCAGTGTTGCCTGATTACTAAATTGACGACATTCAACTAGAATAAATGTCAGATGACTGTAATTCAGTAGTTGATTAAAATTTTAATTAATTATAATTAAATTTTTATTTCCGATTATAAAGTTGATTGTTAGATTTTTGTGACTCCAATTGTACTATCGATCCGCCAATAATCAACGATTATTAGGCAATACCATTGTTCAGACATCTATTTATGTAGGGAAGACAGTCAAGGAATACGGCTTTTTTATTTTTTATATACGATATTTTTTTAAGAGTGAGTATATCCATTGGGCATAGATAATTTTCATGTCAACTGTGCTAATATAAGGTAACCTATTTCAATGTTAATGACATTTTGTCGTTATTAAAACGAAACTTTATTTTAATGTTATTAAGTTGATTATTGGATGGAAAAAATAATTTGCACATCACATAACAGATTATTGGATGCAGAATTAAAAATTTTATTATCTGTATACAAAATATTTTCCTTGATTATAAGGCTTTTTTTACATCTTGCCAGATTTATATTTAGTATAGTTTTAACCATCGACAATAAATATTTGTTTCTATTGTACATTCCCCAGTAAAGGTAATACACATGCGTCCAGGTAGTAAGGTCCATGTGACAGGGGATTATTAGACTATGATGTAATATAGGATCATATCTTTTATCATATATACATACAATATATATGAACGTTTTCTTTAGTCAATAATAAAAGGAGTCACACAAATATATGACGGGCACGAGGTATGATCCTATAAGTATGATGCTATAGCTATCCCAATAGGTACACAAGATATATAAATACATATAATAATAAATGTATTCGTCGTATAGACAGTATTATACGTAACAAATGTTTTGTGTATTACATATTTAGAAATGGTATACTTTTGTTTCAATAGTCCGAACGTCGGAATTGTTTCCGTGTCTGTTATCAATTATATCCCAACTGCAATACTGTTTGTAATAATTAACTGAAATTATTTGAATTAAGAATGTGACAACGGAATATTGATGACATTGTGAGATTAGTTTTGGTTTAGAAGAAAATTTTTGGAATCATGTAATTTGCCAGTTTTATTAAAATGAATCGATAATATTATTTGTTTTATTATTTTAACCAACCGAACCGTAAGCAAAAGAAAGACTACAAGTTATTCGAAATCATTCGTGTATTCAGAATTATTTTCTGAAGGGGGGGGTAACCCCTTAAAAAAGGGGAAAAGAGATTGTTAGTAATGCGGTCTAAAAGCCCCACATTCTATTAGGTCGACATCCACGCGATTTTCCCCAGAAATCGTCATAGTTAATTTTTGTGGAATTCGTCCCTATGGGCTAACTAACCTGCCTTCATCCTCACATGTAATCTCTCACTGATACCCAGCCAGAGTATACCTATAGCGCAGGAGGGGTTACCATTCCATTTTCACCCATTAAAAATCCCTTTAAAAGGGGAGATAAAGATTATTAGAAATACGATATAACAGTCCTATTACTAGTGATATACCCTTACAAGTCGACCTCCATGCGGTTACCCTGGAAACCATTGTTGATTTCTGATCAGAAAACGACCTCTATTTTCTCTTTATGCCAACCATTAAAAAGCACATAATGTACTCTCATGCAAATCTTTGTGAAGCTCCACTGGCATCCTGGGGTGGGCACTAGCCCATTCTGGGGTGGGCATAGTCCATTTGCCCCCTAAAATACGTCTATACATGGAAGCCATTTCCTTTGGTACCTCTATCCCACCCGTGCGTTCACCATGTTGCTAGTGTACTTGCAGGGCTGTTTCGGTTTAAAAATTGGAATATAGCAGTGCAGTGAGGGAATCCATAGCACCATAACACATAACACCATATTCTTGACAACGCATGATGGGTACAGTGGTCGTCACGGTGCCATTATTTTCTATAGACGACAATTACCACTTTACATCAAGGGAACCGTCAGCTTATTTACTAATAGGTTGTATAAAAAAGAAACAATAAAAGGCATCAAATTATACAAAATAATACGAAATTTCTTTGAAATATAATATATAAGCATGTAACAGAAACGAGGTAGTCGTTCGGTGTGGTTCATAAGACAACCATTCAATTTATATGTATATATAATAGAAAAATATAGTCACAATATACGTAAGTACATATATTGGTAAAAAATTATGTATCTATATATAATCCAGGCAAGCAAACTACATATTAGATATGCTTTAAGCAACGCACCGTTCAACCGCTAAACATATATAACATTGCACAATTGCACCAACTCACTTCATTGCGAGGCCGAGTTATGTGCATTCGAGTAAATCACAAAGTCGAAAATAATTAGAAAACGAACATTTGCTCGACAGATGTTTGATTAAACACAAGTATGTGGCAAGAATAAAACTAAAGAAAACAACGAATAAAATAGAAAAAAAAAAAAAATTATTTGTCAAGCGAAAATCAGTTTATATTATTCTGTGTATGCCGTTTTCGACATTTGTCGAAGGAAAGCGATCGAGTTGCTTCAAGTGGTCATAAACGTTCGAGATGAATAATGTCGGTTCGAATCACGACAAACATCAAAACTATTTTAAGTTTCTTTACCAACTGGAACGAGTTTGCAACTCGTTCCAGTTGGTTTTCATAATAAAGTATTAACTTTAAAATGGGCAACGAATTCTTTATAGAATTTATCGAAGCAATATAAAATTCTAAAGATTAAAAATTTTACTTTTAATCGACTTAACGCGATGTAAAAGTACCTACATACCTGCTTCTTTAGTGCCGACGTTTCGACGTGGATTACGTCATAAACGTCGTAAACGCTTATTATATAAATTTGAACGTACATAAAACTATGTACTTATAAAAAGTGCATACTCTATACTTAAAGGCTTGATGAGAACTGTAGGCAGGGACGTCACTGCCGGGAAGTGTCTCATCGAGAAATAAATTAGTTCGGACGAGACTAAACAAAGTCAAATGGTTGTCTTAAGAACAAATTATGTTCATTGTTTAGCCAATGTGCGTCTAGGTGACAGGCGAGGCTCGTTCCGCGCTATTTCGGTTGCTGGCTTGAGTCCGTAGCCGATGTGCCGCTATCATCACATTACCAGCTCTCTAAACAAAATACAATCTAATATTAATGTCATTTCTCGATTCCAATTGAGAACTCGTTTAGCGATATTAATGTTTCAACTCGAAATGAAGTAGTTTTTTTTTATTGGGTGATAATGGTATGGTAACCCCACCCGTCCTAACGGTATACACCGGCGGGGCACCAGTAAAGGATGATAGGTGAGGATTAAGCAGATCAGTTAGCCCATCGTGATGAATGCAACAAGAATTGTTCACGATGGTTTTCAGGGAGAACCACGTGGAGGACGACCTAATAGGGCATATTGCTAGCAATGGGGCTGTCAAACTCCAATGGAGTTTAACAACAACAACAACAAACTAACAATCTCTTCCCCCCCCCCCCCTCCGAAATGAAATAGTTATGAACATAAATACATTCAATTAATTGAATCATAGATTATGTAAGAAAATAAATATGCTAGTGATTGTTATCCCTATTAGAGTAATGGTATTTGTCGACTGTTCCCGTCATTGGCATATTTAAGGATCATGATCAACATCATCAGCCGTTAATTGTCCACTGCTGAACTTAGGCCTCCTCCAGTAGTAGCCACGCTTGGCAAACGGGTTGGCAACCGCAGTTAGGGTTTTGGTAATGCTTTGATAGGGATACTGCTGCCTATCTCTCGACCCTTATTTAGTTAAGTTATTTAAGAATATTAATAATTAAATAATTAGTGCCTGGCTCCTTAAAAGCTCCATAATGTATTTTGAGGTATGTCTTTGCCAGTTAGCCCATAGTGATAAATACATCTGGAATTCAGTACGATGGTTTCCAGGGACGAGTTTGGGGGAAAAAAGGATTGTTAGTAATTATCCTGTCAGGTCGACCTCCTCGCGGTCCCCTCTGAATACTATCGCGCTTATTCATCATGACGGGCTAGCTAGTTTGCCATTTCATCCTGACCTATCATCACTTAAAAGCGCTCCGCCAGCGTACACCGTTAACGCAGGCGGAGCTACCATTCCATTTTCATCCAATAAAAAAATACCTTTCATAAACGTACCTGCCATCTAGCTCTGTAATTCGCGAGATATGACTTTAAGTTCTCTCTGGTCTTTTTCATATGGCCAGCTTTTGCACCTTTTGGCGGGCCCTCCAAAATCCAGGGGTGTTTCAGAGCGGCGGCAGCTGACATGCGCTCTTCTGCTATTAGAATCAAAAGGTGATCCACGAAATCCTTAGCCAAATCTGAGATTTCCATAAAAGCCGTTTCGTCATAATTGTAATTGGCCATCGTTATGTTGGCAGATCTCTCTGGCCACGAGTCACCCGCAAATGGAATCACACCTGAAAGTCTATAAAGAATTTCTATTAATATCTACATATAAAGGAATTGAATATTGAAAATATAACGTATGTATATATATATATATATATATATATATATATATATATATATATATATATATTCCGTTTTTGTTAATAATGCGACCTAAAATACGGACAAGATATGCCACGCTTCATTATAATAAAACACTGTTGAAGTGGTAATAGGCTGGTCACAGTTCGAAGAACCGATAACCGATGCTGAAGAAAGGTTATTGAGTGGCGACTTCAAATGCATTGAAGGGAATCAGTGGATGCAAGTGGCTCAGGACCGTTCCTATGGCAGTCAATGGTGGAGGCTTATGTCCAGCAGTGGACGGATAATGGCTGAAATGTTGATGATGATGAGTACAATTTTTGGCTTCACATCATTGTCATTTCTGATTTTATACGTACCTTTTATTTCCTTTTCACAGAAATGCAAGTATGAGAACAAAATTAGAAAAATAATATTATGGATTAGAAATACATGTGTATATAATATTAACTTTTGATATTATGGCCATGACTGTTATGCCTGAGAGGATATTCTATGGAATTTAATTAATGGATGATTTTATTTATGCAACCTAGAATGGAAAACAAACTGATAGCCCACCTGATGGAAAGTGGTAATCATCGTCTATAGACATAACAGAGTATACTGTTTCATCTATGATACCCCCCAGGCGTTTCCATTCCTGAAGACTCAGGTGTTAGGTGATGATAATGAAATTTTAATCCTGCGCTATCAGTATACGCTAACGGGGCACCAGTGAAACGAAAGCTGAGAGCCTACCATGACATGTTTTCCGAAATTTCGGAGCCGAAGGATCACAAATTTAATGTTAAAATTACATAATACTTAGCATTAAAAATCATTAAAAATATGAAAACATTATTCCTTGGGACTTTTATGGTAGGATTTATGACGAACGAAATGTTAAGCTCCATTTACTGGCTCCATTTAATATGTATGAACAAAAACATGAAATTAAATCCGAAACTTAGGAATTTCATTTTATGGTAGGCCCCCAGGTTAGAAAATAATTAAGAATACTTACAACATATATGTTACGACACCCAAACTCCACATATCGCACGCTAGCGTGAGTCTCTCGAAGTTCAAAACCTCGGGTGCTACGTAATCTCTAGTCCCATATATGGCTCTTGTGATATGCCCTTCCTCCAAAACCCTGGCAAGTCCAAAGTCGATGATCTTGACCTGTCTGGAGTTGGGACTGAGACATATTATATTCTCAGGTTTCAGATCCAAATGAGCGATTTTGTGGGAGTGCAAGTAATCCAAAGCCTCGCAAATCTGCCGTACGTACGGTACCACATCCACTTCTTTTATATGCTCTTCCTCGACAATTCTATCGAAGAGCTCCCCGCCCCATAGACTGGAAATAGTCAATTTTAACACTTTTCAACGTTTTGCACAAAAGTCGTCTACTTGAGTTTTTCTGTTCAGTTTGAATTCAGATTCAGTTTGAATGACAGTGAAATTATATAGTGACATAACAGTCCTTAAGAATAGCAACACATATGATGGGAACCATGGACGTCACAGATATTCAGTAAAGTTCACGATGCTCTTTATATTGGAACTTGTTTGCCAGTTTGTGATCTTTAAACCAGCGTTGAAGGTTTTAATCAGATTTTTTGATAATATGATCATAATTCACAAAAAAATTACGGTTAGAAAATGACTGTCATTGCTCTGATTCTCAGCAATCGATTCTATTAATATTATTCTTCTTATTCTTAAATTGAAACTAATGCCACTTGGCCAAAAATGTTAAACATACTTACTAATCCATAACTAAAATAAATGTGTCCTTGGCAACAAACGCATCGATCAGCTGAACTAATTTCGGGTGCTTTAGTTCCTTCATTATCTCATACTCTCTCTGTGCTGTGTCCCTCTTTTTCTGAGTTCTGGTCTTCAGTGTCTTAGAAAAATATACGTACAATTAGTTTTTCATAGGAGTTCCTCTATATAACAGTATCATACAAAAAAATTATTACAAAGACACTTTGTACTAAAGTTGTCTGCAAATATGGGGTAACTATATCCCATACGTGTTTTCTCCGTGCAGCAATTGTACTTACACTGATGTGTTTTGGTTTGGAGGATACTGCAATGACATTATAGTAACCGAAAGCTTTACAATATAGTCCCTAAGAATGACAACGCAAAAGAACTATTTTGGGCATAGTGTATTCTTTAATGCCCATGATTTTGGCTTATAGGTGATGAATACCATTTCACATCAGGCCGGTCATTAGTTTGTTTGCAGTTCTAAATTGCATATAGTATGTTCTACCATGTAGTAAAAATGCAAGAGTTACAGAGCAATATAACCTCAAAGTTTAAGAATTAAAGATAAAAAATAAACAAGTAACTGTGATTAGAGAATGTATATTTAGTATATACGTATATACTTTATATTTATCTCCTAATAAATTTATTTAACACTATCTTTTCGCTCGCTACTTCGAACGCGATTTCAAAAGTAGGAAAACTAAGGAAATAAAATGAAATATGGATGTAAATTCTGAAAATAAGTAAATTTGTAAATAATGAAAAAAAAATAGGTACCTTAGCAGCGTAGTAATCTCCCTGCTTGTCCATCACCAACGCCACGCTACCGAAAGCACCGCAACCAATAAGAGCGCTTGTCCTAGTGAAGAGCGAGTCGAATTCCTCCATTTCTTTAACGTAACTAGATTTTGTTACGAACGCTTCACCCGATGGTAACGGAGCTAGAATTAAATTGACAGATAATTAATTAGCCGTTTGTTCTCATGAAAGTGTGCATAGAAAAGGCCACCTCTTTCCTATCTCGTGGGTGTTGTAACAGAGGGCGAGAGATGGGCAGCAGCGTCCCTCTTAAAACATCTCTAAAGCCTTACTGTGGTAGACAATCCACCTGCCAAGCGTAGCAACTACTGGCAAAACTCCCCCAAGGAGGCTTAAGTTCAGCAGAGAACAGTTAAAGACTAATATGACGATGATGATGATGATGATAATTAGATTTCATCATCAGATCATCTCAGCCATTATCCATCCACTGCTGGACATAAGCCTTCCCCATAGATTCCCATAAAGAACGGTCCTGAGCCACCTGCATCTACTATCAGTGATTACCTAATTTTTTAATGGCGGATGATAGAATGGTAATCCCGCCTACCAGTGAAGGATGATAGGTGAAGATGAAAGCAGGTTTGTTAGCCCATTATGACGAATTCTAGAAGAATTAACTACGACGGTTCATAAGGGGAGTCGCGTGGAGGTCTCCATAAAAAAGGTCCTCTCAATTAGGTTATATTTTTTTATGTAAATTACCTCATATCAGTTCTAAACCAATTTGTAAAATTCTTTTTTATTTTTATTTTAAAGCTTAATACTTACAGATTGATCAAATCAAAAACAGGTCAGTAGTTTAATTTTTAATTTAAAATAATTAAAATTGATTGGTTTTGCCATAATTAAAATTGATTTTATTTTGTGTGGAACGTAATTTTAAAGTTGATAAAAATAAACGCTTTGTTGTTTGTGCTAGAATGAGTAACTAAAATATCAACATACTGATGCAAATACTGTATTCACTAGTTTCATCCACGGGTTTCAAAGTCCTAATACGAAACTCCATCATCTTATCCACGGGTGGGTCTCTGATCTGAAATTTAGGGCTGCTGCTCACCCCCACCTCAGTGTACCCTCCATCCGGCTGATGAAGATCAATAACATACCACATGTGAGTGTTTGGGGGATCATACCTGTAATAAAATAATACTAACTTTAATACACACTTGGTAATTTAGTGGTTGAGCACACATTTTCCGATAGCTTTATTTGTAAAAATCACTTAGCCCTACGTATTTCCAGTTTTATGTGTGGTATATATATGTGTATTAGTGTGGTGTATTTGTATGTATTTATGCGTATATATGTATATGTATGTATATATATTTATATATGTATGTGTATGTATATATTTGGATGTATGTGTTTATTTATGTATGTGTATATGACTATGCTGTCACAGATATTATGTTTTTACAGATCTATTTTTTTAACGCGCCACTATTTATGCTTTTATTCCTTCTACCCAAAGGTTGTCTAGAAGAGATTGCTTAGCAATAAGACCGCCTTTTGTACTACACTATACTTATTAAAAATTGTTCAACAAATCCTGTTTTGTTGGTGCAATAAAGTGTTAAATAAATAAATGGCTACCCCTTTTGGGTAATTAATATACAATAGCGGGTTATATATACTATTTATTATAATATACTATTTTTATTTATTTAACTCTTTATTGCACCAAAAACATAAAAATAAACAATGATTTATAAACAATTCAACTGAAATACAGTAGCGTGGAGTACAGATTAAAATATACATATAAAGGTACATAAGGCGGTCTTATCGCTAAGGCAATCTTTTACAGACAACTTTTGGTTAAAGGACAATATATAGAAGTGGGCAGGTGGCGCGAGAGTGAATTAATCATTTTTACGTATAATAAACAAAAACATCAAATACATATTGTTTATTAGACTACTTACTATAACAAATAATATAAACTACATACACATATAAATATATACAACAACAGGGCTTCTCTTTGCCCGCCAGATGGTGTGGGCGGGCGAGGTAGGAGCCTCGGGGCATACCCCACTATCCCAGCTTCAACTCCGGAGGCAACAACTTCCGGACCGCTGGATTTGCAGCCAACATACACTGTTGGTCTGTGTATGCCGGCGTGGCTTCTAAATATATACATTGCTTTACTGTACTGTAATTGCTATATTTCGGTAAGCTAAAGTTATAAACCTATCAGTATCTAGTATCCAGAGAGGTCTAATATATCCGGTGGTATCATATTAATGGATAAAATATATAAAATGTTTCATATGTTAAATTGGGATATAAGCTATCCGTGTACTAAGTTTCATTCGAATCCATCCAATCATTTAAACATGATAATGCAACAAACATTCAAATATCTTTACAAATTTTAATATCTATAATCATCAATAATCAATACTTACCATTCCAATACAATTGTTTTAGACTGCTCGAATTCCTCTTGACTTGATTCTTCTATTTCATATACGTGTACTTGAGATGACATGAAGTCAGCTCTTTTAATCACGTCCAAATAATGAAAATTTTTCTCCTCCAACCTGAAATGTCAATAAAGAAAAAAAAAATTTGAATAATATACTATATTTTGGTTAATGTATCTCCGTAACTATACAGCGTGGCAATACGGCAAGCCTGGGTACCCTACTAGTTGGCAATAACTTCAAAGAAACCTTGATTTTTTTATTTATACTTATTTATTTCTTCTTTATTGTACATAAAAAATTACAACATATAATATATATATATAAAATAAAGATGTATAACAGGCGAGCTTGACTCTGTAAGAGTTCTCTTCCAGCAAACCCTGAGTGGAAAGGAGCATTAATTACTAGCGGGCAGTATGCGTACAATAATAGAAGGAAACATTATAGATGTTTCTATTAAAAAATAATAAATATGTTGACATATATAAGTAACTCATACAATTAAAATCAAAATAAATACATATCTGTATACAATAATACAAATACATTATTATACATATATACATAAACATAAAATAACTCTTTACATACAAAATACGTACATATACATACATAGACATAATTTAATTGTTTTTATGCTCGACTCTCAACTTGCCATGGCGGTGTAGTGCGTCTGGCATGTTTGCAGAGAACAGGGTTAATCATTTTTTTGCTATTTTACGTAATTATAAGGCAAAATTTCATGACAGATTAATGACAACAAGTAATTATATTGTAAAGACTGTATTTCTCACAGCATACCTGACGACAAGAGATTTTATAACGAAATAATTTAAATTGGTATTTTATAATTGATGTATATTTTAAAAATAATAATAACAATTTATTTAATTAATAATATAAAAATGTAAACTATGGGTATATACCTGAAAATAAAGAGATTTATTATTATTATATTATTATTATTAAAGTTTTAAGTCTTTTTTTTAGAATTAGATTTTTAACCCAGTAATATGTTACTGTGAGATAATGTAATAATAACAATAAAAGTCTGGGCATATCAAACAATATGCTTTTTTTAATTATAAAGCACTATTATACCTACTTGTACAACAATTAGTCCATTACCTTAAGGTTGTCTTGAAAAGATTGCTCTCAGCAATAAGACCGCCTTACTGTACTTATACAATTGTATCGTTATGTTTGTAAATTGTCTTGTTTATTTCCTATATTGTATAATGCAAATAAAGTATACTCATTCATTCATTCATTCAATATGCAAACGACCATAATTCCTAAGGAGTAGTTAGAAGCGTTCGTCAACTGTTGCCGTTATGGAAAACACATACATGACATGTCCACATTACGCCGAGCATATTTGAATCCATATACGCAGTGGGAAGTGGTTATTAGTGTTTACATCTACCGGATTACAATGAATTAGTGGATACAGAAGTAAAAGGTCACAAACTTGTTTAGATTGAAAAAATCCACAAAATGGCTTTAGTAGATTATGATATCTTACAATAAAATTAAGTCTCGAAAAATTATATAAAATAATCTAGTAAAAATAAACATTTTCTTTATTGAAATCGGTTGAAAGTAATCAACCTATTATTGTAGCATTACTCCGATAAGCACGTTATCCGTTTAAGGCATTTTTTTTTTCTTATCTCACGTTTAAGGCATTTAATTCGTTGTTTAAATGCATGCACGCAATAAAATGTGATAATGCACCGAACGAAGTCAATTTACAAAAGATTATCTTAACTTTCATATGACATTAAGCACTTAAAAAAAATAGGACAACTGTATTTGTTATTTCTAGTACCGAAATTAGGTTTTTTTATACAACTTACAATGGCTTCCTTTTGAATCACTCTATCTATTAAAAAAACCGCTTCAAGATCCGTTGCGTAGTTTTAAAGATATAAGCATACATAGGGACGGACAGACAGCGACAGCGACTTTGTTTTATACTATGTAGTTATAACAATTATAGAAAATATTTGAGAAAATAAAATTTCAGACACAATTTTATATTTAAAACTTGGCAGCATGGTTTGTGACCTTAGCCTGTTTCTCAAATGAACGAAGGTACCAAAAAAAGAGAACTGTAAAGGAATTTAGTAGTCGTAATATGAAATATAGAGAGCTCACCTGCAATAATTGATTTCTAGGGCCACTTGATTAATGAAGCAGGTTTCACAATTACCGTTCCCGTTCATTATTATCTGAAAATACAAAAAAAAAAAAATATTAATTCGTCTAATAGCAAAATACGTGTTTTTTTTTAAAGAAACAATACAATATCATGTCTAACCTATTAACTACGATAATTTAATCTAGTCTAAAGCATAGAATAGGCCACCCCTTTCTTTCCTGAGGGTGTCGTAAGAGACGAATAAGAGAGGACGAGGGATAGGCGGCAGTGTTCCTTTTAAAACATCGTCAAAGCCTAACTGCGGTTGTCTATCTACCTGCCAAACATAGCACCAACTGGCAAAACCCCCCCAAGGGGCAAGCTTATGTTCAGCAGTGGACTGTTCACGCCTGACCATCTATAAAACTATATTCGCAGTGCATAATTTTCTTTGCGCAGTTTTATTCGCTGACCAATGTATAGATACATATATTTTCCCCAAGACAGTCATTTTAAACAAAAACATATAGTAGAAAATGTTCGCATCGCTTTCAATGATTTCATTGAATGAATAACACGCCATAATCCTGTTTTATCATATATATATAAGATATTAGATTAATAAAAATATACACACAATATGCGATATATAAATATATATACATATTAATAAATAAATAAAATATGACTATATCTAAAACTTTATTGTATTAAGGAGTATATTCGCAGTGCAGTGCAAGTATATATATATATACAATTAATCATTTGATATAGTAATATTTTATATTATTATTATGTATATATATTTATATATCACATATTGTGTGTATATTATTATTAGTCTAACTATATGTTTATAATATATGAATATGTTAAGTATTACTTTATGAAATTCCTCAATTCATGAAATATCACCTACTTGTTTCTCTTTATGCCCAATTGCTGACTGGTTGATAACACCTTCCGGTGTTAAGTCCGCCAAATAGATTATAGACATAGAATTTTCCTGTGCATTAAAGTATAAATAAATAAATAAACCTATCTAAATGTATGATCAAACATATAGGGTACTTAAGTATAAATAAAACATTAAGTTTAATTATCTTAAATAAAATCAAACATTATAAATATGAGAAATATGAATCAGCAACTTTACTATTACATCAAACTGGTAATTAAAAGAATTACAACAAACTATACACAAAATTCGAGTAAAATAAATATATTGTAAACAACATTAATGCATGCTCAGTTGAGAATTTGAATAATATGAGATAATGGTATTATGAATCAATTTAAGATAAATACGATATATATTTGCATATCGCTGTGCAGTAAAAAAAGAATTAAACAATTTCATGCGATTTTTATGCAACTTAGAATGGCGAACAAGCTGACGGTCCACCTGATGGGAAGTGGTAACCGTCACATATAGAATTGATGTAAAAGGTAAGGCAACTATTAAAAGAACAACCATTCGTAAATACGCATTGATTCAAGTAGAATGACACATAATGCGTAAATAAGTCTTAGAACAAGTATATGGCCATTATTCTTACGAATTGATGTATAAATAACACATTCCATTTTCAAATATATAAATATAAAATTGTTATTTACAACACTTACATTACTGAACATTTGCGAAGCACCATTCTCAATATCGGCTTTGCTTGATACACGTTGTATTTTAGGTTCCTTTCTGTTTATTGAAGCAATCGATTCGTGTTTTAAAACCGATGCAGGCACAATAGCTAGATTTGCTGTCGTCTTGTTTATTAGTATCGACTTTCTATTTGGAAGGGCCCGGCGTAATTCACACATCACCTCTCCGGCCATTCCTGGTTCCACCTTGTTGATGTGCAGTAAGAAGTCTTTATCTTTACGAACAACCTGGAATCAATCGTATTAACATACAATTTCATCCCGTAAAGGTGATGCACTTATTCATATATGAATTTCAAGTCTTTCAATTGACTCTTGTGTTAATTTTAATTGATTTAGCAGACTCTAAGTTACCCACCTTGTCATTAAAATGTTTACCATTATTAATTAGATACTGAGAAGTTTTAATGACCCTGGTATTACAGTTTAACATACTGATTTATTTTCTATAATAAGAAAATAACATTTTATGAAAAATAAGTTTTCAACCGACTTCAAAAAGAAGGTGTAGGTTATAAACCGTCAGTTAAAAATCGATTTGGCAATTTTTATCTGAAAGGATACACTTACAGATTAGTTCCATAAATAAACCAGTTTTGTCACAATTGAAGTCGAGGTCTTTTGTTGATAACAACTATTGTTACATAGATCTGGGTGTTTTTCTATGTATAATCTATATAAAAAAAAAGTATTCCTGTAATGTTTTAAAGGAAAAAATAAAGAGTATCTATCTATCTATTTCTATCATTAATTTAGCATCGATGGTATAAGCTCTGTTTAGTTTGGAATTAAATGATGCTGTGTGATATGCACAAATTATAATAGCAGTGAATGAATTCAAATCACTTATAATTCTTTTTAAAGGTGGAGCTTCCAAAATCGATAGTATATTTTTTTTATAAATATTACCTCAGAACATATTTGAATCCATTCCAGAGACCCAGTGGATGTAGTGGCTCAAGATCGTTCCTTATGGCAGTCTATGGGGAAGACCTATGTTCAGCAATGATCAGACAACGGCTGATATGACGATGATAAATTATTATGACCTTATATCAAATAATATGGATTACTTACATTAAATCTTGTGTTGCTACGTTCTATTCTAAAATGGCCGATATGCCAAACGACATAGTAGTACCGGGGATCTTTTATTTCGAAACCACAGTCAAATGTTATTGTAGAACCATAGCATGCAACTGTCGACACCAATGGTTTCTTCAAGAGCACTATAGGTGGGTTTTTCATAGGGCTAGCTGAAAATTTCAATGTAACTATTAGTTCACTTGCCAATTAAGATAATTATCTTTAAATTCCCATATTTAAACATATTCATAGTTAACTCACGATAAACAGTCAGAAAGCAAGACGAAATATCAGTGTGCCCAGTTATTTTGTTCTCTAAAACTACCGAATACTCCGAGGAATCTGTCTTTTGTACATTGAATATCCTTAAACCAAAATAATCCCCATCATATATTTCAGGAATCATTCGTTTGTCTTCAGCAATATCAACACCATTTTTAAGCCATTTTATTATTGTATTTATATTATTTCTAACTTTACACACAAGTCTTATTTCCTCATCTATATTTGCTTCCATATCATCTGGTAAAGCTTCCTCTATATATGCATTCACATTGTCTAAAACTTTAATATTATCATCAAATACATGCACCTCGGCTGTGCTTGATGTAATACCATATTTTGTTCTTGAAACTACTGTGTAAATACCAGAATCACTTAATTTTCCACAATGAATCGATAGGACTGATGAGTATCTGTTATTCAATGTCATAATACGTTCATTTTCTGTTACAATCCTATCATTTTTAAACCAAATATAATCTAATAAACATTCGGTTTCAAATTTCACTTCAAGTTCTATTCTCTCTCCTAATTTTACTGTTACATTATTTAATTGCTTTGGCACAGAAAGCGCCCATCTTGGGCATGGATATGTATAGATTGCTTTGCAAGTATTTTTACCGATAAGTAATTTAGCATACGAATAAGTCATACTAGACATATTTTTAAGGACTATACTGTAAAGTCCATGGTCTTCAGGGACCACTTCATCTATTTCCAGACGGCGCCATTTTCTGTCGTTTATTATTTTAATTCTTTCAGATGGATGTATTTCTTCACCGTTCTTGTACCAGATACTAGTGGTTTGTGGGTGGCCAATTACTTTACATTCGAATACAGCTGTGGCACCTTCATATACAATTATATCTTCAAAGGGTTCGTCTATTTCGAGTGGCATCACGAGGTTGACTCCTTCTATAAAACAGATTATTAATATAGATTAATTAAGACCAAAAACACAAAATGTTAAATTGAAATGGAGACTTTGTACAAAAATCGTTTAATGGGCGTCTGTGCTTGCATGACTGGATTTTAGTTTTAAAGCTTAGATTATATTATCTATGCTTTAAAACTGAAATGCTCTAAAAGCTAAAAATATAGATGGGACATCGAGTTTTAAAAACGGATCAACTTTTAAAAAAAAGTGTCAGCTAATTTCACAATTAGCTGACACTTTTTTTTTATCAGTGTTCCATATACTAACACATACAATGTATTTTAATGTATTATTTAATAAAGAAAATAAGTATTTACATATTAAAAAGATGCAGAAATTATAAGATAAAATAAATATAGAAGTTATAAAGGAATCACTTATAACTCATAACATCAACCGAAATTGTATGAAAAAGTTGACCCGTTTTTCTCGAAGCATTTCTATGGGACTACCTATATAATCAAAATTTTAAAGGTACCGTGTATATGACGCTGTTTATTTCTACAGGCTACACTTTACATTAGGGGTCGTATGCTTTTTTATCTTAACAATATCTCAAAATATAATAAACACTTACTGTCTTTTGAGAGTACGCAGTTTGTTGTCGCCATCTTTAAATTAGGCAGTGAAACGAATACTCCTTTGTACTGTAATCTTGAAAGTAAAAAATCTGTAACCGAAATAAATATTACAATATAAATAATTTATAACATACGATAAAACATCATAGCACGATCGACAAGCACGCATAAATACATGGAAGATTCAGTAAAACAATAAAAACAAGTTATGAATAATGTACAAAATATATATGACGAAAAATCATTAACTCAATTAAATCTAATTAATTCAATAATACAAGTAGCTCAGTCCAGAGATTGAAATCAATTGCTATACTTATTTTTGCGCCGGAAAAACTATAAATATTATTTTTTCAATATAATAAAATAGAAAATCTAGATTTAAGGCTTCTACGTATCTCATTATCACGTTTCGATCTACCAGTACCAGGAGACATTTTGCTGATGTTCAATAATTTATATATAATAATTTATTTATATATAAATTCAGGCACTCCATCTAGTGGGAGGATGGAGGAGGTCCTACACTGCGTTTACCCATACGTGGTCGCCACTCAACATTTTTTCCCCATCGGTTGTCAGTTCTTCGAGCTATATGACCAGCCCATTGCCACTTCAGCGTTGCTTATCCTTGAGTGACGACCTGAAATGCGTTGCAGGAAGTCAGTGGTTGCAGGTTATGGCAGTCTATGGGGGAGGCTTATGTCCTGCAGTAAAAAGATAATGGCTGATATGATGTTATATATAAATTGCGTTAAATTCAGAATTGGAATTGGTAGAGAATGCCATCAGGATTGAAGTCCGCTCTGTAGACACATTTTAATGTATGCAAAAATATAAATAAATAAAGTATATTGCTATAAAAGACTAACATACCCAGTTCTAACAATCCATTCCCTCCGCCATTACAGAGTACCGACCGAACTACAGATGCATACCATCTGTTTTCAGACAACACACAAAAATGGGGGGAAAGGGATTACTAATAATGTGATCCTATTACTAGCAATATACTTGATATGAGGTTCCCAAAGAGGGTTAACGTCAGACAGGTGCCCGGTCGTAAAACTAAAAACCAAGTCTTTTTGTAATATGGACAAAATCATATTACGCCGACCCCAAATTATTGGGATAAGGGTAAGAAGATGATGATGATGAGGTCGACCATCGCGCGATTTCTCTCGGAAACTATCGTCATTCTGTAGTGTGTATCCCTCAATAGTGTCCTTTGCAGGTATATACCAATAGCGCAGGCGGAGTCAAAGTTAATTTTTAACCATTAAAAAAACAGTTGTCACCGTCAAATACGCAGTCAACATGATTTATTTAAAATTTCTTAAGAACTATTCAATTTCAATATAAGTTTATCATTTGGTAATACCCAGACGATTTTAATGGTACATTAGAAGTATTAACCTTTTAAAAATCGTTTACTTCTATGACCTTGAACCCTTCTCCCTAAAAACTTGAACGACCTTACACTCTACACAAGTTGTAACAGTATTATCTATACGAGTATACCGTAATCTAAATTCTAAATCAATCTGTCCAACGCCAATTAGGTATATACAACATATAGTTGTATATTTGTAAATATGTGTTTATAAATGTAGCGGACAACATGACTCAGCCGTCACATAAGGTCATGCAAGGTGAAAACTAGAGACCGATAGGTCCAAAAACTTGCGCAACGGCAACCTTGTAAACACACCCTATTTTAATAGACTATTAACATGTAAACCCTAGTACACACTGTACTTTGTGGTGACCGGTTCAAGAAAAATCTGTAATTGGGAATAAGTAAGCCTATTTATAGATAGTATTATAGTATTATAAATGTGAAAGTTCGTAAGGATTTTTGGATGTTGATTATTCAATGGATTTGAATGAAATTTGGTATACGAATAATTTATATTATAAATGAATACAAAAGATAATTACCGGTTTGAATATTATTATATATATATTATGACATGATATTATACATATGTAAAATTACAATTAAAATTTATCGTATAACAGTAATGAATGGCAAATACTTCAATGACATTTTGTTGAAATTAATTTTGTAATAACAATATTATTGTATGTCTAATAACATTTCAACAATTATTTAATTATATTATTATAATATTACGTCATCAGAACTTGGAAATAAATGAAAGTAATACAATTATTAGAAGAAAGATGTAAAAATAGTTTAAACAATTTCATTTCAAAGTTTTCATACCTACTTTCTTAAAGTCTAAATTGTTTTTATTGTCGTTAAATACTACATGATTTTTCTTTAATTTTCATTAGATAAACCCTTGAATCCTAGTTTAAAAAATCTAAACTAACGACCAACAGCATAAAAAACATAACTTCTAATTAAAAAAACCAATTTGTAATTCGAGAAACATAAAATTACGGTACGTTTCTCTCTGTAACTTAATGAAATCTATACGAATATTAATCTGTATAAATAAAACAAAAACTAACTCGACTTTGTTACACCATTCGTAACTCCAGTACGGCTGGACAGAATTTGATGAGCTATGATTTATTGGATTCATTTCCTCCCCGAATAGCAGAGTAACTATTAAAATATTGTAAAGATTCCCCTAAAAATAAAATCTGGAAATAATTATTATAAACTGTTAGGCGGTACGAAGTTCACCGGGTCAGCTAGTAAACATATGAACAAAGGAATAAATTGATCTGACCATAGTCTGCTGACATAGATTAATATTAATCAATAAATAGTCGATTAAATAAACTGCATGTTTCGTTTTGTTATTATATTAATTTCATTTAGTGAGTGTTTCCGTTGTTACAACAAAACTTGTATTTTATTATTAAATATTATTGAAACAGGACATAATTTGCTTATATAGACTTAATTAGTCTATAATAAGTATAGTGAGTTACCACCACATTTAGTTAAAGGACACGGATTTAAGTTCGATAGTTAAAAAGTATGTATGTGTTTTAAATTGGTACTTATATAAAATCATTGAGTTATAAATATTCTTGATTTCAGAGTTCATCATAAATGATCCAACTTTATTTTTAAATACAAATACAAATAATTTTTATTCGAATAGACTTATTTACAAACACTTTTAAATCGCTATTTTCTTTTTAAATCTACTGCAGAGTTCGGAATGTTGTTATCTGTTGAGAAGAGCCCGCAAGAAACTCAACAATTACTCTTTTAAATCTCTATTAACATTATGTGTATTTATTTAAATGTTTAAATAATATATTGTAATTTATATGTTTGTACCATACAGTTCTCATCTAATAAATTGTATGACGCAGTGTCTGCATATGCCTAAAAGTGGACAGGTATGGTCAGACGACTAGTTATAGGTACAAAGTATGCACGATCATACGCAATTATCTTTATATTTTTTACTTGTTTTCCACCAAATACAGTATTGGCAAGTTATGCTGTTTAAATTACTAATGTCTTGGTTAAAAAAATCTTTTATAGCAAATAAATTGCGGGGAATGAAATGCAGAAAGGTAGATTCGCATAGACAAAGTAGTTGCTGTTCAAAACGAATAGTTTAAACGTATTATTTGAAAAAAAAAAACAAAATTATTTATATTTATACCCACCTTAATAACTAGCTCGACGTTATAGCGACCTTGTTATTTTTAATAGTATTCCAATAGTGAAAAATGCTTACAGTGGATGTCGTGCCGACATTCGATGGGTGGAACTGGATCATACTCGTATACAGTCTTTGGACAGTTTCTTAGAATTGTTTGGGAACTGGCACTCCTGGGGACCGCTCAATCACTAATTAGTCTACCTACTGAGAATGCTTACACTACGCCTATAATTTCGACCATCTAAAGTAGTATGCGGAATAAATCCGCGCAAACAAAATACATTGTGAAAATTTTTTAGTAATAAATCATTTATATACGTAATACATATAAATCATTTATAAGCATAATTTAGTAGTTTTGTTTTTCATTCTTATTTTGTATGTAGTTTTTATCATATTTTTTTTTTTGTATTAAAAATCAACCTATTCTGTGAATATCCACCTCTGTGAATGTTGAGTACGATTATAATTGGAATGCAAACTTATAATGCTATTGTTTAATTCTATTGCTAAAAATTTTGTTTGTAATCTGTTGTTGTATCACAGAAGTAAATAAATATCGAACACCTGCATCACAAAATTACGTATATTTTTATATTAACCTATTAACTTTTTTTTTATACAACTTAGAATAGCAAACAAACTGACGGTCCACCTGATGGAAAGAGGTAACCGTCGCCTATAGACATGAGGTGTGCCATGGACATAACAGAGTATACTGTTTCGCCCATGATACCCCCCATGCGTTGCCATTCCTGAGGACTCAGGTGTTATTCCTCTGTATCCAGTAAATTCACGCCGTATCCCACCCTACAAACCGAAACACAGCCATGCAATCACAACTGCTTCACGGTTGAAACACGAATGGGACAGAGGTACCCAAGCAAACGACTTTTGTACAAAGTCTCCCTCTGGTATCAAAATATAATAATGTCTCCCTCGAAAACCATTGTTCCAGGTGTGTTCATCATGATGGGCTAACTGATCTGCCTTTCCATTCTCACCTGTCATCCCTCACTGGTGTCCGGCTCGCGTATACCGTTAGCACAGACGGGGTTACCATTCAATTATCATCCATTAAAAAAAAACTAAGAGTAAGCAACCTGGGTGTATCTTATTATATTTTTGTTCATTTTTCATTTACACCGAAGTTCATTAGAAAGTTTTATAAGTAGATGAACATGTGCAAAAGTCAGCGACGGGATTTTACGAAGAGCGCCCTAAATATATACAGGAAGTGAAACTTGCATATACAACAATTTCCGTTGTCTATCTCATTTCTTATTATTCATTTATTTGGCGTTTCTCAAGAACAAATTGTCTATGACAGCCATTGACGGAGGCCGAGCGATAGACAAGATACGTACCGGATCGACTGTGGTGCTAGCAATGAGGTGATGGCGGTCAATTTAATTATACGCGTAATTACATATAGGGTAACAGGTAATAAATTAGCAAGTGGACGTGATAACGAATAATAAGTTTTGCAGTGGATGGTCGACATACATTTTATACGGTTGTCAGCATTGATTTTTTTTTATTACGATACGTTGTATACCAAAGATTAAGGAGAGTATCTTTATACGATCAGAAAATGATTGTAAAAAAAATCCAATTAAAACAAACATTTGTCCAAGTAATTTAAATGTATCATGTCAATAATTAAAGATATTTAAACCGAAGAAAATTTGATAATTTGGAACAAATCATTACGATAGACATTAGCTGTATGGTAAGAGTCCTTTGCCTGTTCCTTTGAAATAAACGGAATAAAAAAAATGTCACCCTATCGTGAATTAAGTGATTAAAACAATTAGAATAAATAAGATTGCTAATGTTTATCAGTTAATCACCGTTGCCACTTAGAGGCGCTAATTAGAGTTTTATTCAGATTTTATTTTTGGCGCTCTTTAAAACTTTGTTATTATAGATAATACTATCATTTGTTATATTCAGTAAAATATGTTTTATTCTTAATCTAGACTATTAATTAATTCAGTTGTTAAGAAGTAAAATCTGTATAGGTTACCCAAATCAAATT